AAGCCATCACAGAAAGTTTCTCGACAGGCCGTTTCTCTGATGAACACAATGAACACCTTACAGCCTGATCAGTCAGCTATTCTGATGTGAAACCACAACCAGCCATACAATTACAGCCAATCAAGATCATTTCCCTACTACTTCATAAGTACTGCTTTGTGTTTATCTATCATATCAAATCTAAATCAAGTCATTTAAGTTTGTGGCTGTAAACAGACAAAATGTGAATATTTCTGCAAAGCACGGGTCTTCAGTAACTTACCAGCATGCCTCTAATAGAATACAGATACTAGATATACTTTTAATTTTACTGTACTGTCAGTTAATCAAGTAATCTCAAGTTACACTGATAAAACCGTAAGCACAAATAAAAAAGAGAGCTTGAAAAGTCTCTAAGAGAACAGTGAATCAATAACCAATATATCTAACCTTGATGGTCAAGCAGGATGTTATTGGGATTCAAGTCCCGGCAGATGATGCCCTCTTGATGCAGACAGTCCAAGGCCGTAACAATCTCTACTGCCCAACATCGCACAAACTCCTCTGGGATATGAGCTTGGGTGGCAGCCAACGACAGCTCGTCTAACTCTGCAAACAGCCGTGACACTTCTTTATCAAAGTCGCTGCCACCTGTGGCTTTATTGACTCCTGATGATTCACCATCAAGATCTAATAAACTCTCAATGACTGTGCAAGCCTGAGTACCGTTCATAGCTGAGATAGAGGTTGTGGTGGTGTCACTGAGGACTGGAGCAGAGTCTGTGTTTCCTGCCATACTAGGTTGAGGTTTCTCACTTAAAACCCCTGTTTCTAGGTGGTGATCACTGCTTTGACTGTCGTCTTGGTCAAAGGCTTTGTCACATGCCTCAAGTCCAAATGCCAGGCTGTCGTCCCATAGAGAAGTACATGCAAGACTATTGTCACAAGTTGCAGAGGCTGTAGAGAAAGATGAAAGTTCTTGTTCTAGGTGCTGCTCCTCCAGGTCCTCATGCTGGCTATGTAGCTGCAAGACATCAGGCTGGATGCACTTTTGAGAAGTGGCTGCAACTTCAAGGCCCAAACACACCCCTGAAGGTTCTGATTCCTCCTGTGTAAAGTCTGCAGTCCCACTTATTACAGGAAGATTGACCAACAAGTCTGGTGGATGACCCTCATCTTCGACTACTGCCTCCTTAAAGGAGATGACAGGCACTGACTCATTAAACCCCTTATCGCTACTGTCCAACCCCCACAACTCCAAGCTTGGGCCCTTTACTTCCCGAGCCAGCTCTGGTAGCTCCTCGGTGACCTCTGAACCTAGGTCAGACGTAGAAAACTGAGGCGGCTGCTTCTGAGAATGCCAGTGCTCCCCCAAATCGAGGCCAGTGACCTCGCTAGCGCTGTCTTTGCTGTCAATGCGGAAAAATTCCATCGGTGTGTGTTTGGACTGATCCAAAGAGAGAGGCTCTGTGGGAGATCGTAAAGGACTGAAAACTTCACTGTGATCATGTCCTTCACTGCGGGTCTGGTCAGTTTCAAGGGTTTGGCCGCTCTTATCAGAAAACTCACTGAAGAAGCCGAGCTCCTGAGAGCCTCCTGGGGAAGAAAGGCTGTCATTGCTGAGCAGCGAACGGCTGTATGAAGACGCTGTTGCTGTTGCATTAGGCACCTCCAAAGAAAGCATTTCCTGCTCGCTCCTCTCATCAACCTCCTCTTCTAGTGCATCTGGTTCTACTTTTTCTTGTTCGTACTCATTGCAAAGAGTCAAATAACTGTTTGTGCACTCCTCCTCAGAAGTCGCACCAGAGTCAGTCTGAGCTCCAATTTGGTCCCGGAGCCCTGCAGGGACGGCACTTTTAACAGGAGACATGAAAGGGATTTCCCCTTCTTTCTGAAGGCCTAAAGCAAGATGTGAACCAGCATATGGCTCCGAATCACAACTAGCAGAACCTGCATCCAGCTGTGGTATTATGTGGTGTGGAGAATGTACAGCCGTTGTGTGGCTCTTCTGGATGAAAGGAATGTCAAAGCTCTCCTCTGGGCTGGAATTACGAAGGTACTTTCCGATGTGAGACCACAGCTTCCCACCTGAAGAGAAAAGAAGAACACAGTTAAAATTAAAGAAACAAGGACTACACACGAGGGAAGAAGAACAAAGAAGACAGGTTTTGGTCTCCACTAAATCAAAACTTCGAGGAAAACGTTTAAGTCTATTTTTTTTTCTATTTCTGAAAAGCTCAAATCATTATATGCCTTTCTTAAGAAAACGTTCCTGCCATAAATTCTGCTGAGAAGAACTGCTTATTTGCAATAATAGTTTTGAAGGTTTCAAAATGTGAGAATCCTTCGCGAAATATTGAAAGAAAGATGGCTATTTGGTCAGACTGACATTAATTTCTGTAAAACAGAAAATCTGAAGACTAAACAGAAGTTCACATCTTAAATATCTACAAAATTCATAAAATTCCCAGGGATTTCAAAAATCCTATTCATTTCTTGACTCAACTTTCCAGAGTTATTGGTCCTTCTGATATGAAGGACAAATCATAAAAGAAAGGAAGGAAAAGAAAGAACCTGAGGAAGTGAATATTAAACATTTTTACAATATAATGCATTAATTCCTAAAAGGTGATGGGAATTCACTGTCTGAGAATCATTGGTTCAAGGTAAACAAATTCTTTGCTCTGAAATTTTGATCATTATCCCAAACAAAGCTTCACTATGCCTCCTATATAAGAGTTGCCAATGGAAGCACCAAGCAGTTTTGAGAGATAATTACAGGGGTCCTTCCATAAAGTATCTGTGGTGGGTGGGTGTAAAGGGACAGACATAACTTTTCAGGGGTTGGTGGTCAAGCTATGACAGATGGAATCAGCATCTGTTGTGCGTGGCTGAAAAGAACATGGAGTTCAGAGTCATGATGATAATGTCAGGGCAGTTCGATGCTTTCAGAAGTAAATCCATCCGCATGTTGTCGGGTCTAATGTCACATAGGTCATTGTCTGTCTCTTCTCATCAGGATCTTGCAGCGGAAAAGAATACTGAATAACAAAACTGGTGACCAACTTTGCATGAGGGTCAGTATGTACTACTAATGTTAGCAAAATGTAACTATGGAGTACACCAGGTTAAAAGGGTTATGAGGGTGTTAAAAAATGTGACTGTATTTCCCTGTATTCACACAGCGTACATCCACATCCTAGAGTAAGTAGGTTGTAAGGAGGCCCAGGTGTTGCGATAGGTAATGAAGCACGGCACCACCTGGTATTCAGAATAATGACCTGTGACACACACCCATCTCAATAAAACATCCGTGTGAAACAAGGGCACAGAGAGGGTAGGAGATCTGATGAGCAAGGGAAATAACAAGAACCTGAGAAGATTAAGCCTATAAGTAGAACGGTTATGTCTCACCTTCAGCGTAGTGCAGCAGAAGGAAAACAGTGTCTTCAGAGATGATGAACTTTCTCAGCTGCACCATGTGGGGCACGGAGAGCGGCATAATAGTCTTCTTAGCCTGCCCACAGTCACTGCTTTTCCTCAGTCCCTACAACAGAACATGTGTTGCACAACAAGATCAGACGAGGAACGGAAGGATTTCGTTTGCTGTTGGGTTTCAGTAAAAAATTAGAAACTGGCTAAGGAGAAACCTTCCATTAACAAAGTGTCGTCTGCGCCCCAGGGCAACCCAAAGTCGTTGGATTCATCAAGCTATATGCGGCATCTGATTTAAAAGAGCACCACGCATTAGGTTGGCTCTGTGAGAAAATGTGTGGGTTTCGCCTGTATGTGTGTGCGTGTGTAGTCATTTGTGCGTTAGCATCTGGCGCATGTCTCACACCTGAGAGCAGAGGGGCTGACAGAGACAGGCCCATTAGAATCAATTACACCGGTCACACACAGGGGCTTCTGGCACACTTCACACTCATGGCCAGGACAACGAGAATGCAGAAAAAACATTCACAAACACCCACTAGCACAGGAATGATACCAACTTTGAGGATGAATGTCTCCTGTGTCCTCTTGTCAATGACCAGAAGAACCTGCAGCGAAAAAACAGCTTTACTTACTACTTGAAAACAAATTTTAAAAAATAACGTAGACTAAAAATCACTTTAAAGTTACATTCCTGTTTTAAAATGACAGGAATGGGCAAAGACAATGAAGGGTTATAAAAACATCAACTACTGTGTTGCTTACTGTCATCAATATGCTGAGAAGAAGTGTATTTTATGAGGATAACAAAAAGGTTTAATAGGTCTTAAATTGATGATATTTGCGAACTAAAAAAACAAACTGTGGTTCCCACTACTGGCCCCATGAGAGCAATATGACTGAATCAGTCACCATGTGTGCTGCACATACTTTATGTTGAGAGCTGTGTTTATGTTCGCAGGGCTCTGGTTGTAGAAAGTCATCGTTGAAGTGCCAAAAAGTTTGTGGTGCATTTGTACATTTTAATTGACACTTACTTTTATTCCATAAAATAATACATCTCGCCAATCAGTATTTCATACCAATTCTCCCTGTCAAACTCACATACTTATAAGCTACCAGGATTTAAATGTGGAATATGAAAAAAAATTACTGATTGGATAAAAACAAATGGTTAGATGGTGAAATGATCAAACAAATGTATGAATTTATGTATCTGTCAACGTATGCATGGATGTGTAGATATTTACAACTTTTAGACAAAAAACATGAAAAAATATACTTTTCTACATGTGGAAAGTAATAAAAATGTCCTCACTATATCATCAAGAAATGTACACCTTATCCTAAAGAATCTAATCATTTATCATTCTCCTTCCCTTTCAGTCCTAAACATTTTTCTCAAAACATCTTCATTTTCTCACTCCATGATCCCTGCTTTCCTCCCTAACATCTCCATTGCTGCTCTGGTCTCCAGCCATCTCAGGGGAGAGCTTGAGCATATGTGTCTGACCCGGTGTGTGTGTGTGTGTGTGTTGTTCTCGCCAGGCGACCCTGACTGGGACCAAACAGGTGCGGGCTAAATGGATATGAATGGAGCTGTGAGTAAACAGAGTGGCAGTGCTAGCCAGGGTGCTAATATAATTAAGAAATAAACATCAGGGAAGAGAGGGGGGGGGAGATGGAGAGAAAGGGTGAGGGAGGGGCAGCAGGGTGAGGAGCTCCTGCCATCTGTCCCCTCTGTCCTCATTTAAAATAAAAACAGAGGATGTAGAAAGAGGAGGAGACCAGGTCTATAATGCGTAAATTGTTTTTGCATTGCACTTGAGCAAGTTTCTGAAATACTGTGCGATATAACACGTGTTGGTGCAGTGTCAATGTTTTCCTTCGGGTTCTGTGTGTGTGTGTGTGTGTGTATACACAGGCTGAGCATCATCGATTCAATGTTGTGTGTCATTCTCCGAGCTCCGTGCCAAGTCATTTCATGGCTGAGTGGTGAAGTTGCTTCGCCGGCAGCTGTTTGAGAGGACCAACTACCCAAACTGACCTTGTGGTAGTCATAACTGACGCTAAACATACACACACTCAGCCCTTGCCATACATCTAGTAAATCTATTACATTTTACTGCCTCAGATAAAAGAGATGGGAGAATATGGGGTAGGACACAAGGAGGAGAAGTCTGAAGATGGATACCATCCGCATTCTTGGTCAGGGGTTATGATGAAACAAATGACCGCTAGCTCGACCTGACTGTTGTCATTTTAAAACAAATCTAACCTTAAATCATGCTGCGTTCAAAGACAGATTTATTTCCTAAGCAGAGGAACTTGACCTTATAAAAGACATATGAGGCTCACTTCATGATTACATTTTGGAATTAAAGAACATCAAAACAAATCGAAATGAGTTTATGCAGGTTACAGATCTTGTAAGCTTACCTTGTTAATGACACCTATCACCCTGTAAGCTATCAGCTCATCAGACGGACTCTGCTGCCCTCCTCTGCTTGAAGAAGAACAGCATTGAGCTCCAAAGGCCTTGGCAAAACAAAAAACAGCAACATTTTAGTCACAATGTTTAAATTCTAACAAATGAAAAGAAATAGGATATAAGTTATGTGTTTAACAGCATTTATTAAAGGAAAAAAAAAAAAAACCTTTATGAACCAAGCAGAGAAGTGACCACTCACCACAGTCTGTGTTGATCCCTGACCCATATTGCTTCTCAGATGTAGACCTGAAATCTGCTCTGCACGCATCAGATACTCAGCAGTTTTCTTCTTCACCGCCTCTCGTCGTGAGGCACTTGGTTCACCTGAAGAGAGGTAATTGAAAATATTTCAATTAGTAGGATTTTTATGGCAAAGACAAAGTCAGTGAGAAAATCCTTTACTCTGAGGTAGTGCACCTTGTGTTTGTGTCTACACCAAAGAGAGAGACATTTAAAAGCAAATGTCAAAAGAAACTGAGCAACTTTTAGAAACCGTAGAAGAACAGCAAAGGACCACGTTAAAATTTAAACTGAATATCTGGCACATTAAAGGTCATTACTGAAACTGCTACAGCTCTCAAGTCTACTTCCTGTAGATAAATGTTTCTGAAGTCTCTGACCTTGTACTCCTTGAAGCAGCAAGTCAACCCCACTGCGGTAGTATAAAAACGCTGCCTGGTAGTCCTGCTCACTTTCCTTTTGTACAGCAAAACCGATCAGTTCACTGGCTTTGTCGAGGTAGTCCGACTTTACGTCCGTAGCGTTGACGCCGCTGGTTTTCCTTAGACTGCGGGAGAAGAGTGGTGTTCGATTTGGGCAGCTGACCTCTGGGTTAGGGGCTGACGAGGCGGGGACGGGGGCAGGGGACAGGGTACGGCGTTCACGCAGCGAGGGCAAACGAGGACTGCAGCTACTACTGATGTTGGTGGCTTCCCCCTGTGGCTGGTTTGGGGAGGTGCTACCTGAGGCCATGCCATCATCCAACTCAGCCAGAGAGTCTGTATCCACTGCCAGGGAGGTCAGGTCGCTGTCACTAGGAGGGCCTGAAAGACAAGATACAAAATAAGTTAGTGAAACAATGTTTAACAAATAATAGGGCAGCATGTTTCCAAAAAAAAAATCTGCTGAATTTACCCCCATACTCAGATGTGACAGTCAACTCCTCTGCACCACTGATGTCTCTTTGTACTGAAAAAAGCATGACTGATAAGATTTTATACAACAGAAAGAGAAACATTTTGGAAGAGTTTTATGTGTACGCTTACCATCAGAACTACAGTCTGATAAACTATCAGCCAGGAAGTCAGAGAAAGGCTCAGCTGGTCCAATGAGATCTGAGCCGTCGTGGATCTCTCCACCCTAGGAGAAAAAAAATTGTAAATGAATACATAAAGCTCAACTATTTGGTCTAATACTTATTTCTGCATAAACTGTCAAATACCTTGAAGAAATCTTGAATGTGTTGACTACTGTACAGAGCGGGGATGTTTGCAGAAAACTGCAGGAGATCCTCAGAGCACTGTCTTCTTTCCTCAATCACTGACTCATCGAATCGACCTTAATAAGCGCAAAAACACTTAAAAACACCTTTTTCAGACATTATGCATTCATAACATTGCAGCTTTTTCACATGTACAATCACAAACAAATGTCCATCTGATTCAAATTTTACACAACACAAAGACAAAGTAGTTCACAGTACAGTGAAAGGAAAGAATTACATGCTCTTAAAAAAAATATATTTAACAAATAAAATTCTGAAAAGTGTACTGTCCATTTTCCTTTATCCCCTTTTTCTTTAATCCCTCAAAATACATTACAGCAAGTTACAGCAACAACAAACTATGAAACTGAATTGTTTCATTTCCTTTTCAAAGACAACTAAAGCCCATTAATAAAAGAAAAAAGACATTCAAGTGTATGTTGAAGGCATTCCAGTTAATTGGTTGTGTTTTCAAAAATATAACATTTTAACCGTGTTGTTTATGACAGTTTTATAATTACAAGTCAACATCTGATGTAAATAGGTAAAAATGGTGAGTATCTTACCGAATACTTTGGCTTTAGCGAAGGGAGGAAATAGCTCAGAATGGCTACATACATTCCTGTACAGCTGCCAGAGGTTCTGATGTAGCTTCCGGAAATCACTGTATCTCTTCCATACTATTATCTGTGGCAAGAGAAACAGAGAGCGTTGCTGGAGATGGAGAGGAAGCCAACTAAAGAGAACCAATCAATATTACTATGTTTAAAAGTACCAGTTTAATGATTAAATAAAAGTCGTGCATGAACGCAATTTTATCATGTCTGAATTGTTTGAATACAAATTATGAGTTGCTAACATCAGTTTACATACATTTGCCATTTCGTAAAGAATTTAAGCAACCACTCCAAACACATTAGCAAATCTGGCTTATCTTACAACTTAAATGTCTTTATTCATTTTTTTTTTTTTTTTTAATAAACCTTTAAATTCAAGCTACATCACCAGATAAAGACGTTCCACACAACAAAACACAGTAATCTCATGTTGAAATGAAATTTTGGCTTTCAAAAATCTCACACGTTTCGTTGGTTCAAAGGTAAACTAGGTAAACTAAGCAGATCACCAGTGCTGGCCTGAAGGACGTCTCGGTTACTGAGGAATGTAGCGCTTCGAGGCAAAACTTAGTCTCAAGGAAACAGATGTAATTGACATCATGCTTCCTGAATTAGCTCTGGGCCCAGACAACGCTGAATTCCTCTCCGTTTTAAATGGATGCTTGTGCTTTTAATGCACATTAATGGACACACAATAAAGTGGGGAGATGAAGCTTTGCTGACATGAGACAGAAAGCTGTGTAGTCATGAGTGTGAACTGAATGTTTCTTTTGTTGACTTGCAATACTTAGAAAGATGCAAAAGAAAAAACAAATTGCAAAAACATTCTTTACAAAAGGCCCAAAATGTTACATAAAACTATTGTAACATAAACAATGTAGCTTTAGATGGTAAAATCTTGTTTTTAAAGTAAAACAAAAACTGAAAGAACAGCAAAAGAAAGCTTATTTTCACCTAGTCCCTGAATGGTTTTCATAACTTGGATTTTTTTTTTAATAGATACAAATAAATGCTATCGTAAATATAAACAGCGGCAGAATATTACAGAAAAAAATCTGTAATTTAATTGTTTTTTTTTTTTTGGGAAAAGAAATACAAAAAATTTAAGTGTTTACCTCTTGGACATCTTCTGGATTCTTCCGAGAGATTAACTGTAACGAGAAGAAAAAGCAGAATTAGGGATTTTTATCATGATAGAGACTTTCTAGACGGGCAGTTGCGAGGACAAGCGGGGCAGACAGCCCACAGTGTCACAATGACTTCATTATGAAGCCCATGACGAAAGGCTTGTGTGTTAGAACGGGACATCTCCAAAATCTTGATAAGCAACATGGCAGCTAGGGGGAGACAAACAAACTCAACTCCTCTGTCAGCTGTTACTAAAACTATTGCTGAGCTCTGGTGCTTGAAAGAATAATGAAATAACTCTTATATTTCATTATTGAAAGGGTAGCTTTCAATATTTCAGAGATACTTTCGGCTTAACAAGTCAGAAGTAACAAAAAGAAAAATGTGAAGAAAAAAAAAACAATGACAACATTCTTTTAAACAAGAAAATACTTTGGCATTTCAGGAGCAATTAAAATTTTGGGGTCTTAAAGTCGGATTTAGTAGCTTAATGGGGTAAAATCCAGTTCAGCAGCAGGCTTTAGTTTCACAGAAGTGCTTCACTTCATGATGGGATGTTATTGCCATGGTAACTTATGTGGTAAGCCTAGAGAGAATGAGAACAACAAATGTACAGGCGTGTTCATTTTAATATGTCTTCTCACCATTGTTTAACATGTGACCTTATTTAAACTCAACAGGAATTGCACATTTTAAAAATAATTTAGTAGGAAATTACGTGTCTTCTTAGTAGGAAAGAAATTGAAATCCATGTTTCAAAAGATTTACTTTACAATAAATCATTCTCTGCGTTTTCTTGGTGTTCTAAAAATAATTGTGCAAACTTATTTATGATAATGTTGCATAAAGTTGCCTGCTAGTACAGCAAATTATACTAGAACGTCTATAATTGTTGTTCCTTTTTTTTTGTGAGTCAGCTGTCTTTAGCAAGGATTATTATTTTGTGTCAGCTTGTTCTTGTGAAAAACACACAGCTCCAGATACATGTTATGGGACAACAGCCAATGATTTAAGAAATATTATATTCCTATACTAATATGGTATTTAGAGAAACCATATTTTTGTTATTATTTCACCACATATCAAATATAGCACGTATGTTCATTACAGGGTGCATAGTGCTTCCTGTGGGTGAAAGCGAAAGTGATTCTATTTACTTGAGGAGTCTCAATTAATCTCTATTAAGGCAAATATACTAGGAAACATTACTGTGACAACCAAAAACACAACTGTTTTGTCCAGCTTTAGGTTAGGTCAGTCACTCCGTGTCAACAATGTCTTAAATTTTATATGTAGCAGTATGATTCGTAATAAATGTTGTTTTATTAAAAATTAGTAGCCACTCAGAAATGCTACCCGATACTTAAAGCATTGAAATTGGGAAGGTAATATGAATTGTTACAATAGGAAAGTCGTCCTCGACGGCTTAAATTGCTGTTATCACTGCATAACATCTTCATCTCATTGCCTTTGCTAGCACAGCTCAAGCTAGCAAGATAGCTAATAACATTTAGCATTTCCCGAGCTGTCACAAAGGCCACCTTCGGTTTACTTACCCTGGCTGTGACTTTATACACAGTGTAGCCTTTCTGGTGCCGTGTAGGATCTGTCACTGTATAAAACCGAGCGAGTTCTCCTCTGTCCCGCTGTGATATCATTCTGATAGTGACAACATTGCCGAAGCTATCAGCCGGCTAGCCGTACACATTCATTCTGTAATCACATTTGGCGTGAAGTCTAAACTAGAGCGCCTCCCTGAGGAAAAACAATGGTACTACGTGTAGTAATGGGGAGGCATTGCTATATACAATAAATAAATGAATTAAGTGAATATAATGTTTTAGCTTCATTCTTTCAAGTATTAATAAAAGAATACAACACATCTATGTTTTGCATCAACCTTTTTATTTAAGTCAAACAAACATTTATGAATGCAGACTGCTGTAACTACATATATAGATCAATTTACTGTGAAAGTGCAAGGAATGAAGAGGAATTAAAAGTAAATGTGTGAGTGACATTTTCTGGAACTAAAATCTATTTACAACATTTCATTGCTTTATTACCATGAAAATATTTTTTTGTCTGACACATTTTTTTCTTTTTTAATATAGAGAGTTAAAATTGCAGCTAATGAGCCTCTATTGTACTTTATGACAAAAATATAAATTGATCCGCTCATAAAAATCTCTTATACTTGCTAACACACCTAGTGATCATAAGCATCATTTAAGTTCAAAATTGTCTATTTCATTCAATATTAACTGTCCTAAGTTGGCATATGGATTTGTTTCATATACAGCCATGCTACAATATAGCAAAGGAAAGGAGCAGAAGGATGATTCCTCCAGCTGTCACCATCCAGGAAGTACTGAGTCTGCTTGCAATATTTGTATTTTTGCAAGTAGCAGTTGGCGTCTCCATTACGTTCCTGACAGTGCCATGTCTGTAAAGCGATGATTTGCTCTGCAATAGTAACAGAAGCAGTTGAAACAAATCTTTTTACGGGCTGTGATTTTAAAATAAATATGTGACATAATGCGGTAGACTTTTATAAATATTACATTACCAATAAAAGTAGCCAGTATAACAAAATGTTAAAAATGACGTGACAAAGGGAAAATCCATGCTGCTTACAACTGAACAAAAGTCGATTTGAAATCATTATTGTATAACCACACCATTTTAATAAATAGACTGGGCCTATTTACTGATGATTGCTCAATATGAAAAGTAAAATAAATTACCAAAGGAAACACTGTCAACTTACATTGGCATCAGTGATGTATTGAACTTGTGGCAGGGCATTCACCAAGCTCTGATACTCAGCGATTCTGTCAGAAATAATTAAAGCTGTATTAAAAAAAAAGATAACTTTGCAACAAATGTTTACACTGTAAATCATTAAGCTTAGCAAAAATGCCAAGTGTTTGATTCCATTGTTCTTACTGATCAGCTGTGGTGGATAGAAGTGTTGTATTTGGGCGACTGGTGCATGAAGTAATATTGATAGCTGGGTAGTAGAACAGGAAAGCCAGACACATTTCGTCAGAGGTGGACAAACCCATCTGAAAGGTTGACAATATGAAATATAAGTTTCCTTATTTTTTTAAAACACATTGCTTAATGTTCCCAAAAATATGTCGGAATTGTCTGGTACTATAATATGCAACTATATAATGCCATTATAGGTGCAACACAACAAACAACTTTAAAAAGTTTAGTCTTTCACTTTAAATCCTAAGCACTAGATTCACAGCAGACAGCATGAAAAATCACAAGTGTTCAGTGAGTTTATCAGAAAATCAAAAATATTCTGTAAGACCAATAACAAAACGATAATGTTTATGACAGAAATGAAAGCCTACTCAAAACTCTGTGCTTTATGGTATGTGCACACACTTGTTCAGGTTTCTCTTGCAGGAATAGCAGCATCAGTGCATCACAAAAGCAAATCAACCCTCACAGTTTGTCTGGTTTCTCATTTCTTCCTTTGGAAATACTTCAAAGGTTCTCTACAGGGCTTATGTCAGCAAGTTCTGCTGGAAAATGACACCAGCGTCTCCATGATGTTTATCAGCAGGTAGGGCATAACTTGGAAAAAATGCCCTTGCTGAGAAAACACAGTGGATTAACACTGTTCTCCTGATCTTCAGTGACTGTTTAAACTTTAAATTGGACTTCAGACAGTTTGGATTTTCTGTCTGCCCATTCTTCCTTGTCTTCCAGAGTTGTAGCCCGTGTCTTTGATATGTGTGTGGAGTCTTGAAGCACTGATTACAAATGCAGTCCACACTAAAAGGTTATCTTCCACTTAATTTTCAATTAAACCTGACAACATTTCAGCAGTCTTCCATTTGATTGTAGGGACCACAATAAGTTCATAACATAAGATTTGTAAAAAAAAAAAATTATTCATAAGTTGTAAGAAATCTTCAACTTTTTTGAGAAGCTGAATTATGAATTTATATTAGTTCTAAGTTTCACCAACATGAACTGCAATAACGACTTAAAGTATGTGACACTGTATTTAATTAATTTATATGTTACATCCACTTTTTGAATCAAATTAGTGAAATAAAAGAACTTTGATGATATTCTGATTTCCTGAGACGAACCTGTACTTCCTAATTTTACTCATAGGAGTAGGATCTAATAACAGTCAACAGTTCGGGTTTCTTCTCCAATTACATTTACGGTGAATGTTAAGAACAGTCGTCTTTACCTTCCGGAGTTTACCACATTCTGTACATTTTTAGAATGTGTCCTTATTTTGTTTTTGCTTTTTTGTTGTTGTTGTTGTTGTTGTTGTCTTTTAAAGACATTTCCACTTTGGTTAAAAGATCTGACAGGACATGATTATTTAATGATCAACGTAAATAATAAGGATTTTGCAGCAATGTTGATGTGTTTCGGTTTCTGACTTTGAATTAGCAATTTCTCTTTTTGTTATTTATTTATATTTTTTTGTAAACATCTGTTAATACAACAAGGCTGACCCACCATAGTGGATTGAGTGCGATTTAAGGTATTGTAGACGCACTCCACAATGATCTCATCACCCTGAAATGAAAGAAACAAGTAATTTAGCATTATGAGAGCCCAAAGTGTTTTAATCTTTTACTAAACATGTTCTTGGCTGAAAGAAGTTAATAAAGCTCACCGGTTTGATTGTCTTGATGTTTCCTAAATTGACAATTTCTTGCATGTCAAAGTCATAGTTTTCATTTACTCCCAAGAAATCTATTTGCTTTCCTTTTCTAGAAAGATCAACCACAAAATATAAAGTTATGTTTGAAAACCAAACATTCTGTGCTTTAGAGATCAAATGTATTTTCTTTGGTATGATGTTACGCCTCAGGTTAAAGAGTGGGTGGCTGGCGTGAAGCAAGTACTCATCTTGTTTTTCTCACCTGAAGTGGCCCACTCTGACTTTCCTGCCAGCCAAGTGAGTGTGCAAGAGCACTGAAAACACTTGAAGGTCGGGTATGGGGTCCACAAGCTGTGGGTGGAAATAAAGACTTGCATCAACACACAGTGCCTGCAAATGTAGTCACGTTTTGTTTTTTTGTTTTTTGCGATTTATTATGTTAAAACCACAATATTCAATGATTTCTATTATCAGGCAGTCATATCATATTTGCATAATTTGGGATTTGTTTTTTCCAGTTTTGAGAACTTCAAATGATTGATAAACAACAGTTTCAATTATAAGTCAACAATAGATAAGGTCCCTCCTCCCTTGGAGGATGTGAATAAAGAAGAAAATGACATAAACAGAACTGTGAGGTTCAAATCAGAAAATTCTTCTTTTTACATAATTATCTATTTGCTAAAGAATAGCTGCTGGAATACATTACCAGGCTGTCACCATAGGAGACGACTCCACCTATTTCTCGTTTAAGTGGCAGCTTGAAGCATAGTTGGTCAGTAATCAGCACTGATCAATTCTTCCTGTTTCAGTTAATATTTTATTTTCTTTAATTGTTTTTATTTGTTGCTCTTATTGCAAACCTGTGTTTTATTTTATTTTATTTTGATGATATTGTATTAATATGTAAAAGGTTATAGGGTCATAAATACTTTCAAAAGTAGGCGTAGAATAAGTAGTGCAATTGCAGTTTCATCTATTGCATACAGAGTTTCATACCTGTGAAAACAAAGACGTGTTGCAAATGCCATACGTGTGGAACTTTTCTGCTTTAGGAGGGACGTTATACTCCATGTGACTCACTGGGAACACTCCCGTGGTTAGAATGCCCACGTCATGCTGTCGAAGTTTGTCCGTGTAGTAAAGCCTCAGTCCTGAGCTGTCTATGATACCTATGCAACGAAAGGAAGACAAATAAATGACTCCTAAAATGGCACACAAAAAGCCTTTGTTCCAAAAGTATGTTACCTTCTTTCTTTTGTGGGTTATTGTAATGGATTTCCAACCTGTAGTATGTGTCACTGTCAGTTCCTCCTATGGGAATACCTGTATTCTCAGGAAGCTCGTATGCCTAAGAATTCAGACAAAGATGTTTGCAATGAATACAGGTTGTTCAATAAAATATTTAGACAGATTGGCATTAATATATACCAAGAAGGTAGAAACGTACTAAACAACAAAAAATAAACTGAATCTGTGGGTCAAAGAATTATTTTTGGATCCTTTTTGTCTGTCTCTCCACCATCTTCCCTGTTTAGGGCATTTTTAGGCTTACTAAAATAAACCTTCCTTCGTTTAACATTTTCTCACATTAGGAGCCAAGGCTCCTAAGATGCTTTGTGAATAACCTTTATTTTATCAAGGTAAAATTCTAGAAAAAAAAAATCTTTGAACCCCAGAAATTCGAAGATATTTCCTAAAATGACATCACTAGGAGTTACTCATAGTCTTAGGATTGTCTGAGAATATCTACAGGTCATGTTCCCTTACTGTTCCTCCTACTGCCCATGAAGCCACCACTCCAAAGCAGGTGTCTCCCATGTCACCCATGTAGCACGGTTTATCATATGGTTCTTTCACAAAAGAGGGACAGTGATACAGCAACATGTGATGGACGACTTCCTGGTGCTCAATCTCTGGCTCAATCTAAAAGGTAAGAAACAGTTATCTAATGATTAACTCAAATTAAACAGTGTTTTTAACATCACAGCAGCACAAGCCACCAGTAATTTTTTGCAGCTTTGAAAGAGTAACAAATTTCAATGTATTCAAATAGGATTGTATGTGATAGAGCAAACTGTGAAGTGAAAAAGGTAGTTTTCAGAACCATTTCCTATAGAAATGAACACCGTGGCGTGGATTTGTATGATCCCAATATATTCTGATATTCCTACATAAATTAGCAAAACCTAATATTTCAGTTTAGAAATGAACATAAAATACTTAATTGTATACAATTCTTAATTTTATACAATTAAGTATTGTATGTATACTTAATTGTATTAAGTATTGTATACTTAATTGTATACAATTAAGGTACATTTTAGTACTTTAGATACTAAAATGTACCTAAAGTGTGGTACATTTTAGGTATACCTAAAATGTATCACACTGATGTGATATTTACTTTAAAGACAGTGACATTACCTGATAAATATGATGTTTTGTGGGCAAGTTTTCAAGCTTCATTACTTTACAGTGATAGTAGGTTGTGTTGGGAGGGACAGAGATCTGCAAATTAGAAACAAAAAATAGCACATTGTTTTATTGTAATCAATAAAATAAAATTTTAATTACACATGTTCCATTAAAGTTTGTACACTTGACAGTGTATCATGTAAACTCATGTGATCAGTAGCCATTTGTATCTCTCTTTCTCTCTCTTTTATACTATGTGTTAAAAAAAACAAAACAAGCTAGGGTTTACTGATGTATTATTGAAAATTTTATCGCTGAAATTCTATAATTGCATTTAAATAGAATGTAATTATTAATTTGTGTATTGGTCAGTTTCTTCCACAATTTTCTGTCTTTCTTACTTACTTTGTCCACCTTCACACTGAGATATCTGGCATCAAGCGGGACGGTCTTTGACTTGTAGTTGAGAAGATTTGTTTCCTTGGTGCCTCTAAAGCTCCCGTGGTATTTGATGACATCTGTTGTACCGTACGCGTAGATCAGTTTGATGGACTGAGCCTGTTGGATGAGGTTTTACAACAAAATAAAAAAAATAACAAAAAAAAAATTAAAAAACAAAAAAAGAACAGAAAAACTTTTCAGAAACATCGTACAAGTTTATCTTACAGAAACATGTATGGTGAAAAAAAAACATACAAAACTGTTCTTTCTCTCACAGGAACAGTATTATATTTCACATATTCAATAGAAAGACAGTTTTCTATTGCCTCAAATCTTTTGAGGCGTTTTTTTTATGCTTCTTTTGTCTTCTTAAGCAGTTGGACTAGGTAAGGGGTAAGGTAAGCTTAACACAGACAGCTGATATGTGAGAAACCTGAGCTGTACACTCAAACTTAGAATATAATAAACAGGTTATAGAGAATCGACAGAGCAACATATTGTGCAACAGAAAGGATAAATGTTCTTTTCACCGTTATGGTTAATGCAACAAAGTCTAGAATAGAAGTGCAGTATGATTTGACCCTGGAAATAAACCATACCAGCAGGATGTAGCTGTGAAAGCTCAGTGAATACAACAGCTCATTTAATATTTTGACATGCTGGCCTGTAAATGTGCAGGATAAATTGCCTTACAGTGATCTGGAAGTCTTTTTCATCACAGGTCTCTATTGGCCTTTGAAAGGTCATTATTGTTTGTCCATTATTTTCAGTCATGGAGAGCAGGGTGTAGCTCTGCTCCTTGTCCATTTCAGGCATTTTCACCCCTACTGAATAATAATCCTAAAATACAGAAGGAAAAAAAAAAAAACATTGAAGGCACCAATAACTCCTGGTTTCTGTCATATCAACACCTAATATTTAAAGTATCTGCTTACTGCAAAATAGCTTCCATCAGATCCAAGTCCCCCCATTACAATGTCTGCATCATCCATGCCTCCGTGAGGACTAAAACCAAAGCCGACCCAGCCTGTGGTGTTGACTATCAGTTGGAATGTTATGTTTCCTTGCAAATGATCAAATCCCCACTTCAGGTGGACCAAGGTGTCTTTGTCCAGGTACTCCATGAAAGGCAGGTTGTAGTCTGTGGCCCAAGCTCCTGCCGTCCAGGCCAGTAAGATGGAGACGAAGCACAGCGGGGCAGACATGATGTCTCTCCGAGGTTGGAAATCTAGACACTGAGCACAATGGCTGTGGAGCTGCCAAAAGCCCTCCTACCCCTTTCAGTGACACACCTGCACTGCTAGATGAGCTCAAGTGATACGGGCAGAAAGTGCTTTGTCATTTTGCATTCGCCCTCTGTAGGATTCCCGAGAAAACAAGCCGCAACTTTTGAAGCTTAAGCTTATTTTTCTATATTAGATTCAAATTAGATTCAAATCGCCACATACTTGAATGTTTCTGAGTAATGTCAGAGCACTGAAACTCTGTGCACCTTTGTTAAAGGTCTCATTATTTCACATCAACACCCTGTGTCAAGGATGTGCTTGTTCTTTTGGTCAGTGGATTATATTTTCTGGTTAAATGTTACCCATTCGCAGCAGCAGCTCTTCGCCATTTGTTAATGACTCGTTTTTACTGAAATTCCTGCTGGCAGTTCAAATGGATTCAGGTGTTTGATATACGAGGAAGCGATGAGGAGACGGCAAAACTGAAAGCTTTCCTATTTCTCTCCCTCCTCAAAACGTTCTCATATATCAAACACTTCATATAAGTCAATACAACCTCATTTTGTAGGAATGTGAATAGTGCAGGGTGTCTAGTTACTGACATTAAACTCACAAACCATATAAGTTAAGGGAAAAGAAGTAAAGTGATCCAAGTAACTTAAAGAAGGACTTTGCATGAACCGCTAATGATGATGATGATCCTTGAAGAAAATTATTTAAAATGTGGATAGACTACATTAAAGGACATAAAGTCGAAACCAGATATTTAAATTACAAGATCAATTAGAATCACCAAAAATATTTATATTTACTGATATTTTTTTTTAATTCAGACATTTATATTCATAGCTTTATTTTTAGGTAGAATTATCTTTGAAAGAGCATTCTTATGGTCAAATGTAATAAGCATCCTTCCACTAGTGTCTGATAATAGTTTGTTGGAATTTTGGCCTCTTCGTTATGCCAGAACTGAGATAACTCATTGAAGTTTGTAGGTCACCTTTCTCACGCACATACTTGAAGATTAAGTGTCTACAATAAATGGTTAAATATGAAATTTTTCTCAATTGCCCAGAAATAAATATTGTCTTGCATTGTAATGTCAATTTAAGTCCAGCAGGGGGAGACGTTGGAATAAGAAACGACTCAAGATGAACATGGGTGAGGTCACAGCTCTAACTGCTGCAGTTCAACTATCTGCAACATGTACAGATAAATAAGTGGCTCAAAGAAGATTAGTACAGCAACCATGACAATCACAAGTAAGGCTCGGAGAGCACATAGATCTTTTAAAAGAGCATGATATTTTAAATTACTATATATATATATATATATATATATATATATATATATATATATATATATATATATATATATATATATTTTGAATTAATGTGTTCTATCCAGAATTATGTCTTTAGTATTTAACGTATACACGTCAATTATATGTCTTCTTTTGTTATTGTAATACTGACTGAAAAGAAGGTAAGGAAGTAGGGCTAAAGGGGTGTTTTAAAGTTTAAGTAAATATAGTTTATTTTTTATTTTTATATATATTTTTTACTTTTAATAAAGATATTTAGCTTTTAAAATATATGTTTTAAATTTAATTAATTTCAGAGTCAAGTCTGTGGGGAACTATATCGGACCTGGAATACCTTTCCGGTTTCTCTCCGTATCTCAGGTCACTCCCTCCTCCGCGCTGTCAGCAGCAGCTCCTTACGCGGTTCAAACTTAGCTCTGTCCCTCCGAATCTGCTCCGTCGTCACTTTTCTCTATTTGTCGCCTGTTCTTTTTAAGCTTTAAACTGTTTTTAATCGTTTGTTTGAGGACTGTGACGCGAAGACTCGCGGAAGAGAGGACTTGTCGACTTTTCTTCGCCAGCAGCAGTTGAAGAGCAGCGGGGGGAGATGACCAGCTGAGGACTGGAAATCTTAAAAAAAAACACGGGGCCTGTTTCTGTAATGATTGATCAATGCTGCCACAATGGCGTTAAAGGTAGGAATGTTAACTTTTCAGAGAGATTTAGACGTGTTGATCTCGGTCCTGTCCCCTGCGGTTTCCCCTGCCAGTTGTTTTTTAGTGTTTGTTAGCAATAGATTCGGGTTGTCAGAGTTGTAGTTTGTCAAGTGCTGTTGTGAATATTTGTGAAACTACATTTCAAATTAAACTAATTTTTTAAGTATTCTATAAACGCGTGGTTGCTTATGGTATAGGTGTATGGAGTAAAAGTGAAACAACAGCTTCTGGTAAACATGGAAAATGTGTATCGTCAAGAAACTGTCTTGTGACATTTTACAGCCTCCACAGTGTCGGTCATTGCTACTTCCGCAGAATTCTGGGAAATGTAGTCTTCCGGGTTCAGTCGTAGGACAGCTATTTGAATTGAGGAGGAATAATTTTATAGTCAAAACAATACATTTAAAAGCTAAATAACTTTGCGGTGTTGTTTACTGTTTATGAAACTATCTAATATATCTTAATAATAAACGTTATTTTGGTGCATTTCATTATTTAAATTTGAGATATAATTAGGTATAAAAGTAGAAATCAAAACAATTTATGTTTGAGAATTAATACTTTGACTTTTTAAAAATGATTTTGTTAATAAAATAAAATAAGCAGAGCTGATGTATAGGGATTATTTATTGTAACATCATGCATTATTTTCAATTCAGTCCTTTCTGGGAAGTCAAAAATAATTTAATGAGTTTCACATTTTTATTTGTAATGCTTTTAATAATTAAAATAATAGTTCAGTTATCAAAATTCTTACAGTTTAGGCATATGTCATAACATTGTTTAGACCCTTTGTCAAATAAACCATAATTAGTTGTATTTAAAGCAAATCAGAGATCAAATTGGTATAAATTAAAATAGCAATTATTCTTTCAGTTACGAGAATAATATGCCATATTCATTACAACATTAATAATGTTTAAACAGTCAGTTATTACAAGTTTATTTTTTATATGTTTAAACATAAATATGGACTAAAGTACCCATTAAATGTAGTGGTACTTTCCAAGCTTATTGTGTAGAATATTATACGTTTTGCCTTTGATAGCGTGACAAGTGGACGTTAGCTGACACAAGTTAGTCAGGTTGACTGTTCTGTTACTGTGAATGCATTTGAGTGTTTAACAGGCATACCAATTAAAGCTTTCCATAAATCTTGCCAGAAAGCTCAACTATAAATCACAGGAACAGCATAGGAGAAAAGTTGAGCTGTTGCATGTATTTTCCCCCGCTTATCCGACATCAAGTCACTGGGGTAACAGGTCCGGGATGGAAACGCAACCACCCTTCTCTGCAATGACATTCTACATCTTGTTCTGATAATAATCTGTGTTTCTAGGCCAAAAGGAATATGTAGTCCTTCCAGCAAATTCTGCGTGTGCCTGGGGTCTCATCCGAGTAGTACGTGCCAGGAGAGGGAGGCAGCAAGGACATAACCTAATCAGATTCAAAAACCACCATAACTGGCTTCTTTCAATACAGAGGAGTTTGGGTTCTAGTTATGATTTTCTATGCATACCTCAATACAACCCAATTTTAAAACATATGATGCCAATATTTTTTTAAAAGCTTAAAGCCTTAGCTTTATATCTAAAGTATGGATTATGAAATTTTTTCTTAAAAACCCCAAACGCATGAAGTAAATGTCCGGTTTTTGCGTATGAGCTTTTTCGGTTTCTGCGCTTGATAAATATCTTATTTTTGCCATAAACCATTCTAAAAGTAAATACATCTTCACCAAACTGTTCACGTAGGAGGCAGAATAATTTTGTTAATCATAATAACAAATATCCAATAATTTTCTAAGATATTTGAAAAGACATGACAACTTTGCCTGCGATGGTGAGGCCTTTTTGATGCGACTTCCGTGACTTACCCTTGAGTATAATCCCAGTTTTTACTAAGACTGAAGCAGATCTCTGTTCTGCCTCACATTCCACTGCTGAAAGTTTTCTCTGCATTTTTTTTTTGTCACTAATGAATGAATGGTGCATATTTGCTCTCTTGTGGTCTCGTGGTTACCGAAGGAACTATAAATTAGCCGATCCGACTATGTGTCGCAGGAATTGGTTAATCTACTGGTTCACGTCTTGTTTTGGATAAACCTTGAAATTAGTAATAATCAGCAATGCGACTTGCCTAAAAGAACTAGTTTGATCTGTTTGTCATTACCTTTGTTTTTCCTTCACCGCTGTTAGCTTGCCACAGGGGTCATTGAATGTCCTGTCCGTGCACTAATGTTTAAGGAGCAGAACCATTGATCATTCTTTCTTGTTTGTTCTCAGGCACAGGTTTTATATGACTTCACCGCTGAGCCCGGCAACAATGAGCTGACAGTGAAAGAAGGCGAGACAATCACTGTCACCAATAAGGTAAAAAAAACCCACAAAAAACTAAAACTGTCTGTTATTGTACACAGGACCTAAGCTTTCAGATATTTGTGTGTAAAAGTCATACTCTTTTTAGATTTATCAGCGTTTTCACTGAGGAAGGAGTTTGTTTTGGATCATATTGGTTTAAAGTTAAAAAAAAAAAAGGATTGATGGCTTGAATGAAGCTCTTTACGATTTTGGCGTTGAAAACTGACTCAGCTGAACAGAACAAGATCACATGATCTTGTGTTGCTCAAATGGTGTCTCATACATTACTTACCAAAGAAAAGAGGGGAATAAATGACTGAACAAACATGATGTCATTAGAGTCAGTTGCCAACAGTTCAAAGCTTACTTACGCTGTGCTGACCTACATAGTTTTCAAATCTAAGTCTGTCAGAACCAAATCAGGAAGAGTTGGTGTTTTTTTGTTTTGTTTTTTTTTTTGTCTTTGCTGTAGCTGGGAATTTTATAAACCTTCATAGAAAATCTAGAGCTTCCAAATGTCAGTCTTTCTTTTAAGCCATCTGCTGGAATCTCTTTAAACAGTCGAAAATGGCACCATATAAACTCACGGTGCGTTGAAAGATTGTTATGCCACTCAAACGGTTTCGCCTGTCGCCACATTACAAACACAAACTTTATTAGATTTTATTGGGGTTTTATGGGACAGACTAACGCAAAGCAAAGCATTTGTTTTCAGCTGTAAGTGTGCTGAACCATTTACAGCTGCAGGTCTTTCTGATGCCTCAATACCAGCTTTACACATCGATGGAAATTTAATCATCTTTTTTTTTTTCATGTAGCTTAAGCTCATGCAGATCAGACGGGAACTGTCTGTAAACACTGATTTTCAAGTGTTTCAGCAGATACTTATTTAGATTTTGACGAGGAGTTTGACTTGCCCGTTCTAGCACAATCAGTTTAAACTATTCCATTGTAACTCCACACCATGATGCTTCCACCTCCATGTTTCAAATCGGGCATGACTCAGGGTTCTGTGTCGGCATTCCTGGACACACAGTGTGTTGAATGTAGGCCAGTAAACAGAATTGTGGTTTCACCCAGCCAGAGACCCTTTTTCGACATTATTTTTTATGAGTCTACAACTAATAACTGCAACTCCTCCAGAATTACCAAAGGCCTCTTGGCTTCATCTCTTGTTAAAGCTCTTGTTCCCAGGCCTGTCTCTTTATTTGGACGTCCATATTTTTGGTAGGTTTGCAGTTCTGCGTTCCTCTTTCTATTTCTGATAACGGACACCTACATTTTGTGATTTTTTTTTTTAATTTGAAAAGATTTTGAAAACAATGTTTCATTTTTTTTCCGTTTCTATCATTTTAGTATTTTGCACTATTGGGTGCTACTCTGTCACATAAAATCCCGATACAATGTTTGGTTGTTGCGTGACAAAATGTGAAAATCGGAAGAGACGATTTGTTTTCTGGTTAAAAAAAACTCAACTGTTCTTGCAAAACCCGTGCAGTTTAGAGTGGCATACAATCTGTGCTTATTTGTACTAATATTCTGCTAATATTCATCCTAGAGTATCGGAGGCGGTTGGATTGAAGCACAGAACTCAAGAGGAGAGGTTGGACTGGTGCCTGAAGATTACATTGAGGTAAGTCAGGAAGCGCTGATAATGAAGCGAATAATTTAGGAGACATTTCACCGCACACGCTATTTAACACTAACATATCACCAGTTTAATTAAAAACAAAAGTTGATAGTTGCATGTTGTAAGGTCAGGGTGAGAAGAGCGTGTGACCTCCCTATCAGATACCAGGATGCACATGCTAACCGTGGTGCTGTCGCTTCGCCTGACATTGAAATCACAACAGGATGTTCCTTCTACACGGATCTGCTGATTAGGGTTTTTTTTTTTAGTGCGTGTTTGTGTGTGTGTGTCCAGCCTGATTCGGTTCTCTTGACTGCATCCGTGGATATGATTCACTCTAAAGACATTCAGACTCTGAATAAAAGTAAAGTCTGCGGATGCCAACAGTTTAGCCTCCTCTGTAAAAAAAGAAAAAAAAAAAAAAAAAACCTTCCACAACAACTCCCAGTGTAACGCCTGTGTGTACACGTGAACGAGACTGATAGATTCAACTATTCTAATAGTCCAAACAAGCTTGCCTGAACTTTAGTTAACTCCCCAGCTGCTCCAGGACTGTTTAGATCTCATGCCCAACTCTTAAAAACTTCCAGATGATAACCACAGTTAAAGTTCATGTTTTGGCTATTGATAAAACACAGACTCTCTGTTACTCAAGCAGCAACTATTTGTGCCTTTTTAGTATGCTGAAGAAAATAGGACGTAGTAAAGTAAAAAATAAGCTTTGCATTGTGGTTGAGCATATGTGGAAGTCGCCACCCTGTGCTGTCACAATTTGTTAACAGAATCTGAAGAAGACAGACAGGAAGGCGATCATGTTACCATAGAGGAACATACCTTCAGAAATCACTAAATTATGGTGAGATTACATTATTTTTTTCCACCTAATGTAACTATTTTTTTCTCTTCTTTTTCATTTTGTAGTTCAAAAATGAATTTCCTGCATTCCCAGCAGCATCGACGGCACCCCCTTCAAATGCAGGGAACGCCGCATATCCGGACCTTTCTGTCTTTGACGCATTTGCACCTGTGTCAACGCCTGCACAAAACCAGGTAAAGAGCCAAGCTGGTGAAGATGCTGTTGCTGAACTGACGTCTCGTTTTCTCCCCAAGCCAAGTATCACTGCTTAGTCTCCACACATGTGGCGAAAATACACAACAATAACAAGCAGACCACCTACCATGTTTCACCAACCACGTTTCTGTTTTAAAAACATTTTGCTCTGAAGGGGTTTTCATACCTTTTTGTCAGAAGACAACTGCAAACTAATTTATTCTGGAAAATTTTTTATCATAGACGAAAACAAAGTAGCACTTAAATTTGAAGTGGAAAGAAACGCATTGGTTTCATTTTCACATCGGTGTGCATATGTATTCATATGTATTGTTAGTCTTTCGGGGTCTGTCTTTACCAGTTTTAGGGATTTTGCACATTTTTCTTAAGCATGACACTGCAACCACCATGTTTCTACATTGGGGTGTGGTTTTCAGTTTGATGGGGCAATGTTAGAGCCCCTACTTTTACAATTGCAAAGTCTTCCTTCCATAATATGTGGCAAACAGATTTCTTTGAGTAATTGTTTATCTTTTGAAACCTTTAATACAAAGACTCAACTTTTTCCAGATTCTTCCACCTGAACAGTGCATCTCTGCAGCTCCTCTAGAGTCACTTCAGGCCTCTTTAATGGTTTTCTGATTAGAGGTCTATTCTGTCTGCCGTTTTTATGATGTTTTGTGACTTCATTTTCTTTTGAGGTGTCAGAATAAAAAAAAAAAAAAAGATAGAAATACAAATGCACACCACTGTCTTCAGGTCTTTATACCTAAAAATGAACAACATTCATCCTGGTTATTCAGATCCATAATTGTGGAACATTTTGGGTTGGTCTGTACAATAAAATAATTAGAAATTTAATATAACAAGCTATAAAATACATTTTTTACATTTTGATGAGGCATTGTATGATGGAGTGGTGTTGAAGAACAAGCAAAAAAAGAAAAAAAGCAGAAGTGTGTTTGATTCACAGTTTTTTTTTTGTCCAGTTTTTGTGAACCCCAGATGCAGAAGTGAGAGCAGCTGCAGTGAGAGATATAATTTCAAACTGACATATTTTTAAATGTAGTATTGCAGAACTGACAGGAAATGGTTTGAGTGGTCTCTTCTGACTTGAGCAGCCAGAAGCTTCCACAAAAAAAAAAAAAAAAAAAAAAAAAAAAAAAGAGCACACTGCTGGATTGGTGAAAATGTTTGGGCCACAGTATGTTTAAGAATCACTGCAGGAAATGTGTCAGCTTTTGTCGCTCATAGCTTCTTATTTATTCAAGCGCATACGTTGAGGCCTCACTTTAACCCACTCTCTGCTCAGTTTTAACCCTCACTGCAGGCATTTTGTTCTCATCTCACCTTCTATTCCCCTCAAGGTGGATTCTGGGGCTTTGAGTCCCGTGCCAGACACCCCAGACACCCCAGTTACCCCTTTCTTCCCATCCCCCGAGGAGGTAAATGCCACTTGGGGGTTGCGAGCACGACAAGAGGCATTAGTTTGAGCCGTCTTGTCTTCACCAGTTCTCACCTTGGTTATCCATTTGATCTGCTTTGACACATTCACGTTCTGTCTAAAAAAAAAAAAATGCATGATCTCTCACCTTCTGTTTTCACCTTGCACCGTTGAGCAAACAAATGGATGGTTCCAGATTACACAAATCATCATGCACACTTTAAAATGTGAATCAGGATTCTTTATTAAATGTGCACCGAATGCAGTTTTATAGACTGATTCAAATCTCCATTTTTTGTGAAGCCAGACATTACCAATTTTATCTGATTCTGATTTTTCTCTGATTGATCTCAGAAAATTTTAACGGCAAAGAAATCAACAGTCGGAAACCTGTTTTCCCCTTTTTGTTACTGGAAATCTCGGATCAACTCCTCTAGGGCTGCAAAATGATATTTAAATTGTATTATTGCGTCATCAATGTGTGCACTTTTAAACATATCTACAGACTGTTTGCAATGCAGTATTTGTTTTTGTGTAAACATTTGCATGCCAATGACACATTTAGGCTGTTTGATGAAATTTCCCTGCAGGAAGCGATTGCACCTGGCAGTGGTGATAGAGCCCGAGTTCCTCAAAGTCTTAGAAGCTTTGTAATCACAGATAAGAATGATAGCGTGAGAAAAATATGTATTCATCTCAATTGACACCAATGTTTGACAGAAACATTGCAATTTCTTAAGAAGCGTTATGAAATTACAGCATTGTACCTCTTTTATTAGTCAGAATACAACATCATATTTAGCTTATTTCAAAACAAAATTAACACAATATACAATGCATATTGCTTTGTGTATTGCAAAAGTAAAATTTTCCATTTTTATTTTAAAAAATATCTTTTGTTTGTTGATAAATCACGCTACACCATTGAAGCGTTCTTTTTTTATAACATAGTTTTATTACAACATTGAAATATTACAGCCTGAACATGTGAATGAGAGAGCCCGCTATGCTGCATCATGCTCCACAGCAAAATAAACATTATGTATTTTAACAAAACAAAGAGAAAAATAAGTACAAAACTGCCTGTTTTTGAACTCACCGTAAACGTTTATTAGCATTTAGATGTCATAAAAGTAAGAAGAGCCAGCTCTATGTCTATCCTGCGTGGTAAATGTGGACCTACATTGACTCAAAATCTTCTGCCAGACTGCAAACGTTTTATAAAAGCAGACTTATTTCAAGACAGATGAAGGTTAACAATAGGATAAAACAGAGCAACTTCCGTGTAAATAAACCCTTTTCTCTACTGAGGTCTCCTTTGTTCACAGAGTAAGATGAATTCATAATGTTGGATGTCTAAATGGTAGTATAACACATGAAATGCCAGCCATGCTTCTGTAGTAAACTGTTTCCTTTAACCTTATTTATCTAAAAATTAGTGAACTGTAATTCTGCTATTGGTGGTCCAGTTGACAGCTATGATATATTCACTCACTAACAGGTCTGATCTACAGCAGTTCCCGCAGTTAACTATTAATCAGGAAGTGAGACAATTCCAAGCAGCAGCCGATCAGTTGAAGCATCCCAACTATTCATTCAGTGATGCCAAAATTTATTTACCCTGAATGATTCATAAAACAGTTTCTACATAAGCACTTATTTCTTGATTTGATGTGAATACAGTAGAACATTTTACAAATTTTAAAAATAAAACGACTTTTTCTTTTTTCATAACTGCATTACGTAATTTTCTTCGTCCAGCAGTTTGCATTAAAGTTTTGGTTAGTAGTTTTCAAATTTTAACCTTCAAAGGGTGCGCACACACACAGACAAATCCTATTGCATGCTTCTCGATGCAAGTCTTTGAAGCATGGCCTGGAGTTTATCTCAGTGCTTATAAGAGCTGTGAAAACAGTAACCTAAGCATAATGTATGAGTTTGAGCATGCATCTTTCTGCACATTTGCAACATTTCATCTAATTTAGATGAAAGCTCATTCAGAAAACGGCAATGACAGACCAAAGCTGTCATTGCTGAATCATTTCTTAATGTATGCTCCGCTGAAGGACAGGTCTGCACCACGTTTAAAAAGCATGTTGATTTAGGACCACTGTTGGCTTCACATGAAACAGACCGTGTCTGTTCTCTCTCCTCTCTGCCGTCACAGTCCTCCCTTTCATCCCTCACTAGCCTCTCTTGTACGTCTCTCTCAGGCCAGCAATGGTAATGATCCCTGGTCAGCGTGGAATGCAGACCCTTCAGGGGGCACAAACAACAACTGGGCGTCTAATCCAGAGGGCACTCAGACTGGGAAGAGTGCTCCTGACCCCTGGGGCAATGTATCACAGGGTCACCCTCAGGCTTACCAAGGTCCAGGTAAGAAACAGTTTGTTTTAACAGCAGCTGCATATGTTGGACTTGGTGTTAAGTTAGAATTGTGTTTCCAGAGGAGCTTCTAGGTGTGTTTAGATGCTAGTTTTGTATTTTTGTTGTTGTTCAGCTTAGACTTTATGTATTAAATGTTGATTCAGGGTTTCAAACCTGCTAAGTCTGGTGGTAGGGGCGCTAGGGCAGTCCACCAGCAGCCCGGCATGTTTTTATGTTGAAAAATGTTACGTTACAAAAATTTGGAGGTGCACAAGCAAGGCATCATAATTTGGGAATAATGGTGTGCAAGGCCAACAGGCGGGCACAGGAATGGCGCAGTTGGTGCACATAAGCCCTCACCCTGTTCAATACATCAACTATAAACCTAACTTAATCCGTCTTTACTGTCACCGTTACTGGCGTACAAATAGCCCTTTTTAAAATAAACAACGCTTAGTCTGGTCTAAGGCAAGTAAAGCCTGGTTGCCCGCCAGGCTTATAATACACTGGGGAAAACTTTGCTTGTTAAAACCACCCTGTGATATAAAAAATTGATGTTGGGCAGAGAAAGAAATGCTGTGTTTGTTGTGCAGTGTGTAAATATCAAGTTTCATTTCATTTATCTTAGTTCATGCGCAGCACAAATAACCAGAACAAATGAGTTATAAATGCTGTAAACTATAAAGAAATATAACTTTTGAATTTAAATGGAAGACTAAAGTCTTGTGATATTCATGTGACCATAGAAGCTCATTCAGTAAAATAGAGCCAATAAAGAGTCTCTCCCGTTGTGAACCAGGAAGATAGTAAAAATCTCTGAGCAGCTCATCACTTTCAAGTTTATATAGCCTCAGAGAATAAAAAAGCTTTGTCTGTCAGAGATAAATTGCAGGCTTCTCATTCTTGCATGTGGTGGTAACGCTGTACCTTTTGCTGCATCTGGTAGAATACCTTGATGTAAATGAAATCAGCTGGTTGCTCCAACATTTATTGGTTGGCACAGTTTTAAAGCCCAACTCACAACAGGTCTCAATTTGTGTCTTTTGGTACATATTTCTCATAATCTGCAGATCAGACCTATTAAATACACATTTGTTTAGGTTTCATGCTGTTTTTCATCAGAATAAAATGTTCTGCCCTCCACAGCATGCAAACATCATATGTAGTAGATTTATTTATTAATTATGTCTTGAAACTAATCCTTAGTCGAAGCACCTTTTGATTTAGTGCTACATGTTGATTTGGTGTTATTTGGTCACTCTACTTTGCGGAAGGCAAATTTAGGATATCATAATATTATAATAACAAATCTTTCCCACAGACCTCTGAGTCCTTAGACAAATTTTCGGACAGATTTGGGCCTAAACTTTGGTTAGGAAATGTCATTCATGTCTGCGTAGGAGCAAATCTAACACTGATGCTGTTTCTCTCCTGTGAAATGCTCCAGCTTTTCTGCAGCCTATCGAGTCATAATTTTGTTTTTGCCAGACTGGAAAAGTTAGCCTCACTAATGACTCACAGGGACAAATGACTCCACCTGGAATTTAAATTCTCCTGATGCGTTTTTAATAAAAAAAAAAACAAAAAAAACAAAAAAGGAACAGAGGAAATGAGCTGCCATGAGAAAAATGAACAGACTTTCCCCTTTTCTTTCTCTCAGCTAAAGACATCTACCCATATCCTTACCTTATTGATTACACAGGTATCTGCTTTATTGCCTGAAGGATGTTTTCTTGTACTGGTGTGACAAAATGAATCACATTTTTTTTTCCTAAAGCATGTGCTTGAAGCTCAATACCGACACTAGATTAACAGCTGTGTCTTTAGAAACTGCTGGATGTGGTTTCTCTATTATATTTTAGAGGATTTTAGATGTTATGTTTTTTTAGTGCTTGTTTTTATATTTCTAACGGACTGCAAAAGAAGTGCAAAATTAGTCTAGCTGTAGCTTTTTGTGGCAGTAGTAACATGTTTGCATAATTTATTCACCTGTTAGTTTCAGTCCTCTATAAGCCTTGAGATCCAACATATTAGATGCAACTTAGTTCATAGCAGAAAAGGAAATATGCCTCAGAACAAATTGTGAAATTAACCTGTGAAATAGATGTACCATAGTTTTAACCTGCTGGTTTGATGTGATGATTGAGGTACTCAAATGTTTTTTTTTTTGTTTTTTTTTTTTTTTTAGAAAGCATGCTAACTATTTACTAATGTGAAAAAAGTTGTATAGTTATTACTACATCTCCTGAATCGAATGGGGAAATATTCTCTGACTCAAGTATTACCCTTTGCCTTAGAAAATTAATCCTGGAATGTGCAGACCTGTTTACTTTAGCATCACTGAGCTCTTGCTTTGTTTTCTTACTGAGCTTGAACATGTGTATTTTTTTTTAACAGAATGAAATTTGGCCTGAAAAATGCTAACTCTGATTTTGACCCAAGAAAGTGAGTCTCAAAAGGTGCTCACCCGGTTGCTTTTGTCAGGGACGGGTATCAACCTTTACTTTGATCCTACTAATTTAATATAGTTCTGCTCAATTTATCACAAATGTATTGCGACTGCAATATCCATGCATTTTACAATAATACTGCAAAGGAATATTTTTGGCTAATATATATCACAAGCAATATTTTGAGCGTGTTGGATGGTGTCTCCCTGCAAATGATCCCGTCATCTCAGTGCCCAAGATGTTGAAAGTCAGAAAAACATCTGGAGGCACACTAATGAAAATCAGATGAGAGAGGAAAATATTTTCTTATTGCAAAGGGTATTATGATCACTACATTTATCCACCATATCGCCATTGCACGATTTTCTGATATCGTGCGAACCCTACTTTAAGATTCCATTCCACCAATTTTGTTAAAAGGAAACAATTTTAAATATAGCTATTGGGGAACAAACAAATGTGACCTTGTCACTCTGATTAAAGACAATATTTGAATAATCTTTCTCTCTCAGCGGCAGAGGATGACGAGTGGGACGATGAATGGGATGAGATGAAATCAAGTGCCGGCTACGCAGAATCGGAATCTGGGGAAGCCGGTGGAATACAGAGAGGAGGAATGCATGCTTCGTCGATGAAAATATCCCTCAATAAGTAAGTTTTATTACGTCTTCTGTACACGAGGCTTCAGAATCGTTTGTTGTAAGATTAATGCAACAAAATCCCGTAAAAGCACTTTGATTCTAATTTTAAAATCACCTGAGGTCATATTGTAGCAACATGTTCTAATCAAGAGACGTTTATTGCTATTTTCTAACAGATTCCCAGGATTCTCCAAGTCTGGTCCTGAGCTCTACCTTCTTTGCAAACAGATTGCGAAAGGGAAAGACAAGCTGTCGATATACGTATGTGAGCCCCAATGATAGCCGTGTTTCACAAAAATGACATCAACACTATCTGATTTAACCAGCCCACAGCTGCACTCGTTATCTCATCTTTGACTTATTTCAAGAACGTGTGCTGTGTTTACGACGCCTAGAACATTTAGCGCCGCTGTCATAATGAGAATGTCACTTTCCTTTAACTGTTTTTTTGCAGTGCTTGGGTCCTCTTCTAAAGGTTTATGTTTTGCATGCTCAGGTGGGCGAGGTTGGTCCTGTGTGGTCTTACCCAGAAACCCAGATAGACTGCATCGTAGCCGATCCCAAGAAAGGGTCCAAGATGTACGGCCTCAAGAGCTACATAGAGTACCAAATCACACCCAATGTGAGTTTGCAGATTCTTCTCCACAATGCAAAATAAACTCTCCCACAAACTAGATCCTTAGCATTGCGACTGCAAGAAATCATCTGAAAATAATACTTTTAATGTCTTAAATGGATGTTGTTGTTTTTTTTCCCTACTTGCTTATCACGTTTCTGGTTTGCAGACAACAAACCGACCTGTCAATCATAGATACAAGCACTTTGATTGGCTCTATGAGAGACTCCTGGACAAATTTGGGTCGGCCATTCCAATTCCCTCTTTGCCAGACAAGCAGGTGACAGGTGAGCTCATTTCTACGCCAGTTAGAAATTATTTAGAATGGTACATTGGTATTTTAAATGCAAGCACCACAATAAATATCTGTTGTTTTTTTTCTGAAGGGCGTTTTGAGGAGGAGTTTATTAAGATGCGCATGGAGCGGTTGCAGGGTTGGATGTCCAGGATGTGCAGACACCCTGTTATTTCTGGCAGCGATGTTTTCCAGCTTTTCCTCACATACAAAGATGAAAAGGTACAATGTACTATATTTTCCAGGAAAATGTGTGGTTAGATTGCAATGCTTAACTGTTCAAACTGACTATATTTTATTGCGGAAACAAGCAGTTCACAATAAACACCTAATTGCCGTCCTCATTTTATTGTTTTACTGAGGTACAGTGCTTTCGGTATACATGTCCCTGGGATCTTGCTGCAGTCGCAAACTTGGTTGGTCACAGAATAGCATTTTTGTGAATTATAAGTAAAAAATGATGATTACTGATGAAAATCTTTAAAGTCCACTTATGCAGTCATAACTGGATGCATTCAGGAGAATGTCTCTTATTAGTTCTGCATATTTAAGCCTGAAATTCTTCCCAATTCTTCTTTGCAAAATAGCTTGAGCTCAGTCAGATTGAACGAGGAGCATCAATTTTCAAGTCTTGCCACAGGTTCTCACTTATATTTAGGTCTGGACTTGGACTGGGCCATTCCAGCACACATACTTCTATCTAAGCCATCCTGTTGTAGCTCTGGCTATCTGTTTAAGTGTTTCTATCCTGTTACTGTTACTGTTCCAGTCTTTTCCAGGTTTGCCTTGTGTTTACCTTCAGTCATTTTGCCAGACCATGATGCCGCCACCACGTTTCACTGTGAACGGTTTTAGCTTCTTGCCACACTCAGTATTCTATGTGTAGGCAATTTAAAGTTAAAGTTAAGTTAAATGTTTACCTAATCTAACCAGAACATCTTAAATATGTTTGCATGCCTTGTGGCAAACCTTAACCTAGACTTCCTACTTGACTTCCTCTCATCTCCGTCTTCCGTCTTGCCACTGCTCTATAAAGGTCAAGTTTTCTGTGCAACATATTCACAAGAACTATTCAGTATTACTATTGATGATTAATTGAACAGAGCTGTGAGATGTTTAAAGCTTGGGGTGTTGTCTCGACGGTACATTTGCAAAGCACTATTCTTTGTTTTTTGACAGGACTGGAAGACGGGCAAGAGAAAAGCGGAGAAAGACGAGACGGTTGGAGTGATGATCTTCACCACAATCGAGCCAGAAGCTGCAGACCTGGATCCGTTAGAAGTGTGAGTTAAACCCAACCGTCTGAAAAGGGAAAACTTCAAAGAAGCAGCCAGCGATGCGCTCGTAGCACATGTGGTTAACGCGTGCCACACACGTTCCTCTTTTCCCAGGGAGCAGAAATGCGAGCAGTTCAGTAAGTTTACCAAAGCCATGGACGACAGCGTGAAGGAAATCCTCACTGTGGGAAACGAGCACTGGAAGAGATGCACAGGACGTACGTTCGCGCAGCTGGGAATCTTAATTATTGTTTGCTGCAGCTTCGCTTTGTTCTGAAATTATTGTTTACTTCAAAAATCTTATTGTCATGAGTGTTTCCGCTTGTCTTCTGCAGCTCTGCCAAAGGAATACCAGAGAATAGGAAAAGCCTTGCAGAACCTCTCTACTGTCTTCACAAGCAGTGGATACCAAGGTAGACGCTCACCCTTCGGCAGCACACTCATGTTTTCCAGAAGACGCTCGCCAGACTCCAGCTGCATTTTTCAGATTCTTTTTTGTAACCGAGTAGCTATAATAAGAGAATCAGATGCAGGTTGTCGCACGCAGATGGACAGAATCTGTTGGAAGACATATTTTTATCTGCTGCAGGTGAGTCGACTCTAACCGATGCCTTGACGGCGGCTGGAAAGACCTACGAGGAGATAGCCCAGCTGGTGGCAGAGCAGGTAAACTTTTCAGCCTCTGTATCGTATTGATTCATTTTGGGAAAGTAGGTCACCTGATGCAGCGCACATCTCTAACGTAGAGCTGCTTTTTTTCACTCTACAGCTGGCAGAGTGTCGATCAAAACCACAACAGCGTCTGTAATCTTTTAGCTTCTGCTTTCTGTCGAACAGGCAAAATGTCGTCTAGAAAAAAATGATTTGTTGATGACCTCAGTTCTAGTTTCCAGCATCTATTTACGTTTCACTTCCATCAGTCATGTTTGGATTATATCGGTGGTTTTAGGTTTTTGCTTTATTTTTTTTTATCATGAACTAGGAAGTGGAAGACCTCTAGTGGTTGAAACGTCTCAAAGCTTCTTAAGCCTGTTTATCGTTCATCTCAGCTTACAACATTTAAAAACATTTCCTGAATATGTTCTGTTCGATGCCTTGTCAGATCTTGCTGAAGCAGATTTTAAAAAGGCAGAAAATGAAAACTGATTGTTTTTTTTTTTTTAATAGCCTATTTGATGATCTGTGTAATAAAGTCAATTCTTGGCTTTGTTTGATTGTTCCAGCAGCTTTCCGAGGAGGAATTCGCTCGGTAAGCTTGTTTTGCTCCTGTGAGTTCCTGGCTATAGTTTAGTAACACATTTTATAGCCATACTCTCGATTCATCGCAGGATCCAATGAAGTTGATCTGTTGATAGCGACAAAGGTGAATTCCTTACATGGTCAAGGATTAGTGAGAAGTGTCGATGGCACACCTCCTTGTTCACTGTAACCAGATCATCCTGCTGGATATTTGTTTGATTTGTTATGCAGACCATAAATTTTCCTCAGCCAGCGGAAAGCCGATTTGAAGCCGTGGGGTTGTTATCTGAGTGACTTTCCCTATATTGTCCCTTATCATGTTCTTCTCTTATTTCCTGCTCCAAAGTTAGCATTTGGTGTGTTTGCTCCTATTCTTTCTTACTTCCTGTTTCCCTTTTTACACTTATCACCTCTTGTGTTTTTTTTCTTTCTTTTTTAGCCTAAGAAAGATCTTCACTTCCTCATGGAGACCAATAATGAATATAAGGGTCTCCTTGGATGCTTCCCAGATACCATTGGGGTCCATAAGGTACATATTTCTCAATACACATAAACATCATTGTAAAGGAGAAATCCTAGACCTGTTAGCACAGCAAAATATGAATGACCTATGCCATATTTCCAGATGTGAAGCAACATGAGCAAACATTGTTTGAAAACACAATTTGTACCAAAAAGAAGGTTGAGCAAGTGTTCAAGTTGGAGTTTCTTGAGATGGCCTATTGTGATATTTCAGTGTATATCTCAATATATACTGAAATATTGTGATATACACAGTATTTCCAGATACAGTTCTTTAAGAGACCACTTAAAATGATCAGTTTTTCTGATTTTACTTTTTATAGGTATATGTTTGAGTAAAATGGACATTGTTCTTTTATTCTATGAACTACTGACAACATGTCTCTGAAATTCCAAGCAAATATTTAGTATTTATCTGCATAAAATGAGAAATGGTCAAAATAATGGAAAAACATGCAGCGCTTTCAGACCTCGAATAAGGCAAAGAGAACAAGTTCATATTTATTTAGAAACAGAAATACTAGGATTTTAACTCAAGAAGAGTTCAGAAATCAATATTTTGTGGAATGACCATGAGATTTTTAATTGGGGTTCAGTGCAGTGGTCTCATTTTTTCCAGAGCTGTATGTTGGTCTGAGCATTAAGCACTCGAAAGGGTTTTATTGAATGCTTTACAAAGCCTGCGTTTTTTTTTTTTGTTTGTTTGTTTAATGTATTTACTATATATTTAATCCCTCCAGGCAGCTATAGACAAGGTGAAGGAAGGGGACAAGCTGGTGGCTGCCAACAAAATTACCACTCAGGACAAAGTAGCCATGTCGAAACGTCTCAGCACCATGTCTTACACTTTACAAGGTTGCGCTCCGTGTTTGCCGTTGAAATCCAGCAGTGCAATTTATTGTCTTGTGCTGTCTGAACTCACTGGTTTCCCCTCTTGTTTTTGTGACCCAGCTGAAATGAACCACTTCCATAGCAACCGTATCTACGACTACAACCGGGTCATGCAGCAGTACCTGGAGGAGCAAGTCAAGTTTTACGAGACGGTAAAGACATTTCATTTTGAGTCTGTTACGCTTTGACCTTTACACCGCTTTATTAACTGGGAAGCAGTTGCATAGAGTCTAGATTACAATAATAAATAAGAAATTACCGTTTTTGGTAACGCAATCATTTTTCTCTGAACCCCCAGATTGCTGCAAAGCTGAGACAAGCTCATGGTCAGTTCACTACAATGTGAGAGCAGTCTCACACAACAAGACACAACGTTTAATCAGATCCTGCCGAAAGCGCTTTTGCTTGCGTTGCATCTTTACTCTCTCTCTCTCTCTCTCTCTCACTCTCTCCACAATTAAAATTTCACTTCTGTATTTCTCGTACGCTGACCCCATCTCTTCTTTCACTGCCTTTGCCTGCAGTTGCAGCTTATTTTGTTGCTTTCCTCCACCGGCTTATGCACAAATAATGAGTGCAAGAGCTGGAAGGTTCCAGTGTTTAGGGTTTTCAGGAAAAGCAGTGTTGACGGATTAGATACGACACACTCTGTCCAAGGTCCGCAGCTTGTAACACAGGATGTCAACATCCTAGTTGCACTTTGAGCAGACATTGTTTCTTTCATTATACACAAGTTAAACAGCATTAATGCCAGCTTTGCAATTTGCGGTCATGCACTGAGGTTTCGTCTACAAAAGCCAAAGTTGTTCTCTACTGTCACAATCACATGTAAAAGCTTTACTACACGTTTCTCAGCCGACTGCAGGTTTATTTGAGTCGTTGCTTCTGCTTCATGTAAATGTTCATCAGCTTGCTGAGCCAAAGCAGGGGCCCAGCGAAGCCAAAGGCAGATTGTACGTCCTCTGCAATTCCACTGCTGGCAGTGCCTTACTCGATTTCATCCTGCGCTTCCTCAAAAGCTAACAGGAAACTCCACCTCCTTCCTGCGTTACACACATTTTTTTGCCCCTTTTAGAAACTAGAGATGCTGTTATGCCTCACTTCACACTCTGTCAAGAAACAAAATGTGCAATGAGAAAAATAAAAAAAAAACAACACACACACAACGTTGTGGTTCATTATTCTTTTTCATTTGTCTTTAATTACTGAAGTCTGAGTCACGTTCCAGTGTTCGGGTGTTGCAAAATTTCCTGTCCAACTGTTGCTCTGAAGAAACTGTGTCCTCATTTGAAGAGACTGTCACGTTTTACGTTTATGTCTTTCTTTGCTTTTCACAGCCAATTTTTCAATCAGCTTCTAATCTTGTTCACTCTTTGTACGTTTTGTCACATCATGTTTAAAAAATATATATACATAAATATATATATATTCTATTTGACCTTTCAGGTGCTTCTTGTCATTATATCTTATGTATAGAAGTATTTGCTACATAGTGTCAGCATAATTTGTTTGATTTATTAAACAGTGATTTGTATTCATATTTGTGAAAGCGTATCTGTTTGAATGAATTCTTGCGTTGGTTTCTCATGGGGTTTACTGAACTGCACACTGAGGTCCTTGTTCATTGCAGGAGCTCCTTTGCGTAGGCGTGGTAGAGCATAAAAATGAGCTGGTAGCTCATGTAAAAAGTGTGTTTTTGTGCTCTTCTGGTGACGGAAGTGAAAGGGCCCTTCTTCCCACCCCTGCTCTCAGCTACCACTGCCATCAGGTGCAGCTTGATATGTAGACCGAGGAGCGGTTTGACAAAATCAGACTGAGATGCAAACGATCAGATTTATCAGTTCAAAACATGCTTTGAGACATCTTGTTAGTCGTTTTGTACGTGCGGGTTTCGGCTCTAGATGGCTCTGGTGATGGTTGAATGCGCTCATCAGTCTTGGCACGAGTATCATGACGTTTTGAGCCTTCAGAGTCCATTTTGTTTACAGGGGTGGAATGATTTTACAATAAAAAACCTATGATTTTTGAAAACTAAATGTTTTTAGTACTCACAATTATATGAATGGGAGACAGTGCTGTGTAAAATGACTTGCCTCTTACAAATTCTTCTTTATTTGACTTAAATCCTTTCATGAATTTTAATATCGCACAAAGATAACTTGGATACAAATAATTTTATGTTATAAGGCAAAAAAAAAAAGAAAAAAAAAACAGTTGGCCATACGTGAAAAACTAATTCTCTTCTAGAACTAAATACTGATTGACCATTGCCATCAAGCTTTTGCAGTAACTAGCAGTGAGTCTTTTTCCATTGATCTGGATGAATTTTAACCCTTTTATTTATCTACACTGAAGACTTTTCAGTGGATGTAAAAGATAATTCAACATCAGCCAGACATACAAGTACACCTTAAAATATTCTGAATATTGTGAAAAAGTCAAAATAAATGTCACTAATTTCAGAGTGCGCATACATGTATGTGTTTCACTTACTGAAATGCACATTTGTATGTGTACGCATGAAACATTTCGAGACTTTATATGTCATTTTAATAATTATGGTGTACAGATAATGAAAACTCTCAACTCGGTGTCTGAAAATTGGAATATTGTGAAAAAGCTAAATATTAGAAAGCCATGGTGTCAAACTCTAATCAACTAGCTTAAATCTGATTCAAACTGTCAAATATAAAAAAATAATAAGAAGAAGAAACTTACTTTGGATGTTTTGTAACCAAAAACAAGACCTGCAATGAACTGGAAGCTGCTACTGATCAGTTTTAAATGGCCATTCACTGAGAGGATGCTGTCCAAGAAAGAGACACCTGCTTTCTTGGACAGCAATACCTTAAACCTTCACTAAGGTTTTATAAAAGAAGACAAAGATTGTTTAGCAGCAATAAAAGGAAATATTTTTGGAGTTAATCAGAGAGTTTCAAAAAGAAGTACGAACTATCAAACATGATATTAGTATCAAGCTAGGTTAGTCATATCCAGACAGAGTAAGACTCCAAGTTGGTTGATGACTTAAAAAAAAAAAATGTTTGGAGTGACATTATATTAGGGACATGTACCCAAACATTAGTGCGAATATGGATTTTGGTTTATGTGGCTCAGACAAAATCCATAATAAATTCAAACCTAAGCTAAATTGGAAATATTTTTTTTTCTGAAATTAAGCATAACTCTATGTTCTTTAAAATTACAACTGTGACTGTATTCTCTTTAGTAACAAAATAAAGGAAGTTTATTTGTCACACACACTTGAAGTTGATGGATTAACCACATAGGTTTCAAAAACAAGGAAACAAACAAAAAGACAACAGAAAAAGCTCAAACACACATCTGCATTCATGAGAGTGATCGGTTTTTCCAGTAGGAGTTATTTTCTCTGTCAGGACACATCATACATACGTACCTCTACTTGGCAAAGTCAAAAACTGACAAGTTTTCCAAGCTAACATACAAAACTGTAAAAAAGAAATGAACACTTTCAATAATAAAATCTATCATCTCTATGGTAAAGTTTGTATTATGGGTCCTTTTTCATATGCGTAGTTTAAAAGGTTCAAAATAAAGTGTCTTTTCCAGAACCCACTCCTTGGGTTCAACTGCCAATGGAGGAAAAGCTGACTACAATCAGCACAGTGTTCATATTTCCTCAGTCTCATCCTTCCATCTCTCTAAGCTTAGAGAAATGCTTAGTTCTTCTTTCTGCACCTCCGTGATTCAGGGTGACAAACGCGTGTGGAAGCTGCGTGGTCGGATCATCATGCTGACTTTGCGTAGGGAGTAATAATCCGAGTCTTTCCAAGAGTACCAGACAATCCCATCAGGACCCAGTGAGCCGCGGCCTTTCGGAGTGTAATGGCCTCCCTGCGGAATTGGCAATACAAAGTAAACGCTTGTGTTTCTGAGAGTGTACTATTAGGAGGTTTCTGTTTGTGCTTACCCTGTAGTAGACTCCATTAAGGTTGGCATAGAAGCACTGGTTGTACCACCAGCCGCCGTGAGAGATCTCAGCACAGATGTTGCCAGTGTCTGGAGTACTGAAGTGCTGCTTGTCGTGGTACCAACCAAAGGAGTCCTGCACTGTGCCACTGAAATCTGACACATGGAGACGGTACTGATGCTCCTCATCTTCCACACTTGAAACAAGCATAAGAAGAGTCACGGAAGTTTTTGGAAACCTATTAGAATACTTCGCAAGGGATTGAGCATTGTTGTTTTCCTCACCTGAAGCTCTGGTAGAGGGCATGTTTATGCTGGATGCTCCAGTCTTCCAGGTCGATGCGGAGGCTGTAGTCTCCCTGGGTGCTCAGCTCATGGATGTGATTGTTGCCCAACCAGAACTCTGAGTGCAGGTCACCAAATCCATCCCTGTAGTCCCTCCAGCTGCGGTCAAAGCTCACAGAGCCGTCAACTCGCCGCTGGATCACGGTCCAGCCACCACCTTCAGAAATGGAGACGCTCAAAGATCAAGACCTCCAAAGATTCTTTAATTCCATGTCAGCTCAATCTGCAGCTTAGATGCAGTCTGAAGATGCAAAGGGGAAACTGTGACAAGTTTCTTCAAACACTTGATAGATTCAAAGAGTGCAAAGACCAATTTTTTCCCCCTACTTTCTATTTATGTGGAGTAAACCTGCAGGGTTTTAAAGAGGATTTTCAAAGGTTTCGCTCACCGTCTGTGTCCATGTCACAGTAAACCTCCACCGGCATCCTTGCCAGCAATGGCACCACAGTGTAGAGACCTGATCTCCTCACGCCGTTATAGTAGATGGAGGCACAGTCTATGGGACAGTTCCCCACATGCTGGATCTCTGCAGGAACAGGCCAAATTGGGATTTTTGGCTCCCTCTGGTGGCGCATCACTACATGAACACGTACCTGGGTGCAGGGCTTCTTGAGTATTCTGCAAATGATTGGGCCGGACTATATTGATGGAACAGTCTGAGCTTCTTTTGACTTTATCCATCAGAAGGGTCAGATTATGCAGCTGGTTCTAGGCAGAAAGATAATTTGGTAACAATTACAGCCAATTCAGAAAAACAACCCAAAATAATACAAGGCAGCATTACAAGTGGACATTATACCTGCATGTCTAGGATGAGGGTGCCCTGCAGATGCAGCAGAGAGCTGGCCTCAGCATAGTGAACCTCCAGCTCATGGAAACGCTGCTCCAAAGAGATGTTCAGGTGGAGCTTCTCTTCACTCTGATGTACGAGTGAAGTATGTGTCAATATTGGACAAATGCACACACAAACACAGTGAAACTGCTTAGCAGATTGGGATCACAAAGAGAAACGGTAAGTGTGACGACTGAAATGTGTTATCCAGTTTCTTATAACAATGAAATCTCATTGAATATGAGTATTGTAGTAGTTATTGTATTTGGATCTGTGTGCTTGAACGTGGAACAAGATATTGTCAAATCCAGAGACAAACTATAATGTTTTAACATCATAAAGTCTGAATTTTTACCTAAGTTTCTCATTGAATTACTTCATGAATCTAATAATACAGCCAATGTATTACATAAAACTATATATATATATATATATATATATATATATATATATATATATATATTTACAAATGACAGTAAAATGCAAAATAAATAAATTTGCTGGCTCCAAAGAATGCTAGACTACCAAGTAAATGAACTATTTAACACTGTCACAAGAAACCGCCTAAACATTTCGCTTTTGAAAACACTTGTAACTTCCTGTGGCAGTTAGCTGTGCTGCAGACCTGACCACAACTTGCAGTAAATTCACAATAAATGTTATGGCATTTCACAATTAAAATAATTTTAATTCAATCACACATACATTCCAACTGACCCTAGTTAGAAAGAAGCACGTTAGTGTGGAGTCATGCAGGGTACACCCATGGCAGGTCGCCAATTCATTACAGGACAACAAAGAGACATACTGGACAAACAATATATGCATGCATACCTTTGTATCTAATGACAATTTAGAGAGATCAATTAACTAATTAACTTAGCAGTCATGTTTTTGAACTGTGGAAGGAAATTGGAGTACCCCGAGTGAATCATTGCGTACACAAGGAGAACATGCAGTGTCCTTGCAGAAAGGCCCCAGGCCAGGATGCAAGCCTGGGACCTTCATGCAGCAAGGTAACTGCAGCCACCATTTGTAACTCATAGATTCAAATTCAGCTGTGACACATACTGACAAAGAATAATAGTAATAATAAAAAATAAATAAAATCAGGACCCCCAAACCCTGAAGATGTTCATCGACAAACTAGCTCTTTCCACCATCCACCTGTGGTCGCTGACTGATCCAGCTGAGCGCCTCTTCCTATATAAGCCCATCACCTGAGAACACATGAGGCAACACGTGGAGGAGGAGGCCAATCCTGTTAGTGGCTAAGGTCAAGGACATTCTGGGATGGAAGCTAGCTCGATTACCTACATACAAACATCATTAGTCTACAAATAATGTCATTTATTTCAATCTTGGGGTGGATAGAGGTAAAGTTTTACACTAAGTCAAATTTTTATCATTCAAATATTTGAAACAAGCATAAGACCAAGAAATCTACACAATTAACCTCCTACCCAAAGACCTTCCTTAATGTCTCGCACACTAACACGGTTATTCACATTTTCATGTGTCCCTGCAGACCAACTCAAAGCTGTTAAAAGGATCAGTCCTAATAGCTGACCCACATCTGCGTCGGTCACCTGCAGCTCGAGGACTTTGATGCGGTGCCGGTGGTTCCTGAGTTCCTCCTGCAGCTCGGAGATGGTCTCCTTCAGAGCCACGATCTGCTGCTTCCTCTCCTCGTTCTCGTGCAGCCAGTAAGAAACCTCGTCGGAGCAGCGGAACATATCCGGGCATCTTCTCTCATCCAGCTGGGGCAGCGTGGCCACCAGCCGGCACATCCCGTCCTCCGTCAGCTGTCAGAGAAGAGGATTTGGATTAAAAAGATTTTTTTTTTTACTATTTTTTTTTTTTTTAATGTTTTTTGTTTTTAAAAAACATGTTTTATTGGGGCTTTCAAATAATAAATCAATCAATTAGTTATTACTTAAAATGTTTAAGGCAAAACCTTGAAGCAACCCCTGTGCTGCTGACTTGAAGAAAGCTCCCTGAAAAAAATATGATGTGCCAATTTATCTGTTTAATGTGGTCTGCCTTATTGGTGAGATCAAATCACCGTTAAACTTTTATAAAAAATATATATTTTTTTACCTCTCACAATACAGATTTTTCTATTATATTATATTCTATTGTAAATCAAATACAGCTGCTATAATATGATTTTGCCAGATGTAGTCACACACACGTGAAGCAGATTGGTCTGTTTGTGTTTTATTCACTGCTGCCTGACATACAGTGTATATAAAATGTTTGTGTTGTGATAAATGGGAACATGATTAATATTTTCAGGACTTTTTCCACTTTTGATCTGGAATGTAATCTGGACAGTTGGATTAAAAATAAAATGAAATATTTGGGGTTTAAAATAAAATTTGGAAAACTGATATAGTGGATATCATGCATAAATGTTGTCACTCTTACACTACGTTGAAGCTTGTTCTGAGTTTGTCTATTTTGCTGGGCATCTTCTATATTGGTAATGTTTGCCCAGTCGGTGAGGGTGTGTCCTTTTCACAGCCCTCTACAGCTTTTTAATTGGATGTTGTCATTGATTTGGATGCCCCATTTGGACCTTTGTCATGCCAAAATAGGTTACTCTTCATCCTCAGTTTTCCAGAAGCTTGAAAGTTTTGTGGTGGCACAAACAGTCCCAAAGACTGTCACCTGTGTTGCCATTGTGCCATTATATTTCTTTGTAACATTTCAATCATTAACATGGGAGATTATTGGCACGTCTATTATACAGCCACTACTATCAAGAAATCAGCTGCTTTGCTGTTGTTTAAAACCTCTTGGGAGCCTAACCGACTGCATTTCTTCTTCCCTTTTAATCGATCTTGAATTAATGTCCAGTTCTTGGTAACATCACAGTTGCACCAGATCTTCTCCATTTGTTGATGACTTGTCTTTGTGTGTTCTATGTTATATCTAATTCCTTTAAATGTCTTTTGTACCACGCTCCCGTCTGACACCTTTTGATAGTGAGATCCCTCTAATGATTTGGCCAAACAGAAAAATTAACAAAGACACTTTAAGTGCGGCAGGTGTGTGCTGACTTTTTTTTAGCATGTGTGACTAGTGATTAATTCTAAACACAGCCACATCTGCAGTTATGGTAGGATATTTACATATGTGTAGCCAGATTATTTAAGGCTTTTTTTTTAAATCCCTTCGAAATATTTCAGATTTTGTCAGTGTGATTCGTATAGGTAAAAGGAAAACTGTTGGAAATAATTTGCTTTGAGCTTTTACATCCACCATATGCAAACATCGCTAATAAGCCAATTAAACAAGTGCAAAAATGATAACACAAAGAAGCCTTGTAGCTTTTATGTTATTTCTTATCCAGTTATAATGGCTGTCCCCCTCTCGTAAAAAATACTTGCAAAAATAATCTGTTGTGAATATATATATATTTTTTTTTTATTTCGAATTTTGGATCAAGTTTCCAGATGTTCCCTCAGCATGGTTCCAACTCCAAATGCTGGAGTTGCTTCTACTTTGAGACCCAACTGATGTGACCAGTAAATTTGTGAATCTATCTAATTAGAGAGGAGGACTATAAAACTTCACCTTTATTTTATGTTTCTGCAGAAAGTAGACTTTTCACGTGACGCTTTTTCACACTGTACTAAATATTTTACAGTTTAGAATAGCTCCTTGGCTGATGTGTTATGTTTTCTCATCATTTCCATAAGACATGCATTAAATAATCTACCTCCACAACAATTGTATTTGGTAAATAAATCCTTTGATGTTACTTTACTCTCTCAAAGAGAAACTAAAAACAGATGAATCCCATTTAATAAAAAGCAACATTGAACACGTTCAGAAACGTGACTTTTTAGCCATTAGTACCTGGTTTGTGTATTCCCCACACTGTGAACCTCCGCCGTTGCGTGAAGTTGAAGTGTTCATGTTGTCTGCTTTGGCCTCTGGGAGCAGCAGGATGAGAAAGCAGAGAGTGAAGCCCACGCTCCAGCTGAGGAGGCTGAATGAGATCAAACCCATCGCTGTCACAGGGTCCGTCTGTCCCCTGCCTTTTCACTCAGGGTGGGCTTAGGATGTGGAAGTATGCGCTTCAGCATCTGATGCTCCGCTGGCTTTCCCTGAATGAAAAGAAATAAAATAAAATAAAAAAAGGGAGACTAAGCTACACTTTAAGCCAAATTGAAAATCTGCTCACACTTCAAGAAGATGATGTTGTAACAAGTTGTTACAGGCCAGTATAACCTGTATCAGAGTACGAATAAGACATTTCCAGCCTAAAGCTAAGAAAACAGTACAGTTCTCACCCCAGCTATACAGCACCTTCTACCCCCCTCATGGCTCTGTTTGGGCCAGGGGGTTCTCTCCATTTTTAGTTAAATTGTCCTCGTCTTTAGCTCCTTCTGAGTTGCTTTCTCTTAGCCCATGTCTTCCTCGTTCCCTGTCAGCGTAGAGATCCTAGTCCAATAATCCACCTCTAAGAGGATTCACTGCAACTGAGAAAAGGCAGGGAGCATGACAAATAGGGTGATAAAATTCTGACGTAAAGTGAGAAGTATAGAAACATGATGAGAAAGTAATTTTTTTTTGTATGTGAAAATTTCTTTTATTTTAAACTTTAAATAATGTGTGCATAAAGGTAAATCAGCCTTTCTTAAAAAAAAAAACATTGCTTATGAAAATAAACAAAAAAAAAAACATATTTTCTGTTTTTTCCTTTTTTTCAAATGTCACTCTGCAACAGAGTGTCCCAATCTGTGTCTAATGGTTACTGTTTCATTTCTTTTACTGGATATCTACAGGAAATGATGCTTCATTTGCATGAAAGAAGAGATTAAGTAATTAATGTAAGCGTAAAGCGGTTCACATAGAGAAAATTGTTTCAGGAGGTTTTGTTTTTCTTGAGCATCAACAGCAAAAACTCCTACATCAGCACACACAGCGAATAAACATAACCCACTGCACAAGCACAGTAATCCTGCACTAATCTAGAGGTAATGAAGACTAACGTGAGTAGGAGTATAAGGGGTGCTGATCCTATTACAGCACCCAAGCTGCACTTTACATTTTTATGCCCTTGACTCTGACTCATTAACAGACTGCACATATTTTGCAGGAAAAAGACTCCAAAGTCCCTCAAAAACCAGAATATGTGCCAGTAGGTCTGAGGGGTTTGTAGGATCAAAATAGACACGATTGGCCCGGAGGAGAACTTGAACCAATGATGTGGTTCATCTTTCAGTATAAAAATCCCCATGTCAGTAGTTTAAACTGGAATGGTGGGCGGGTCGTAGGTGTCACAACCACTTTGCAAATTTGCAGAGGTAAAATTTAACTGTTAAAAAATATTACAAACAACTAAATGTCACCAACAACTAATTAGATTAAAATTCCCTTTGCTCCCCTACTTTTCCAATAAACTCTTGATCCCACCCGGAGCCGTAAAATTGTAGAAGAAGTAGGAACGTCCTTTTGTACAAAACTAAATTTAGGAGTGTGGGTTCTTGCTGGGAACTCTGACTTCCTCCCATGGATTAAAAAACACACATGCCAGGTTAATTAAGCCTCTTTAAGCTACCCTTTGGTGTAAGTGTGTTTGGATGGTTGTGTGTCTCACTGGCTCTCCCTGTGATGCACAATGACCTTTTTGGGGTCGTACCCTACTGACCGCTGAACAAAGGGGTCATCGGGTTCTTTGTGGGAAAGAAAATTGGGATTCAAATAAAACATGTTAAATTGAGTTTATTCCAGACCTCTTGACCAGACCTTGAAACTCTATTATTCAACTTTGAGAGGTGAGAATTTGTAATACTAGCACCTCTGTATTTCACTTCCTGTGGAGTAAATGTAATTACCAAATCCACTTCCTCCACTGCATTGCGAACGTACCACATGCAAACCAAAACACACGCATAAACCGTCTGGAATAAAGTTCAACTGAGAGAAGTGCGTGTGAGCGCGCGTATGCGTGCGTGTGCGTGTGTGAGTGTGTGTGTGCGCACAGCCACAGGGTGGCGCCATTTGACAGTTTACTGATCTGTTGGGTTTTACTGTAATCATGAAATTTCTCATTTCAATAAACAAACAAGCTTTTAAAAATCCAAGTATTTAGACATGAAAGGAAATCTGCTTGAACGTATTTTACTACTAAGAATTAGTCATTTTCTGACATTTAATGTATGAAGTGTTTAAAATATCCCTCTAAAAATATGGGCACTTCTGTGAAGAGCCATTACATCCTCACTTCTCACTGATTCCTTGAATTTAAACGTGAATTAATGTAAAGGTTCATGTATGTCTTGTATTAGATTTTTTTTTAATCCTCGCTGAGGAAGAACACTGGTAAAATTCCTTAAAATTAGAGAATGGAGTTATTTTGGTGTCTTTGTTCCTATAGTAATATGAATACATTTTTGATTGTTAGAGTTAAACAAATGTAAGATTAACAAAATGTAGTGGTATGCATCATACTATTGCATTTTGCTGCATAGAAATATTTAAAATGAGAAAACCTTCCAATTTCTTAGAAGATTGCAAGTGTATCATGAAACCCAGTCTAAAACATATATTTAAGGCTTACATGTCATGATTCAGGTTTTGGGTGAGGTGAGGTAAGACGCAGGCATGCCCAGGATGATGAAAATAATTAATTTTAATGAAATGTCCAAAACAGAGACGGCACAGGGAACAGATTGACGACATAACACACGACGAGGATCCGACACAGACAAAGACAACAGGTGGGGTTAAATACACAGGGAAGGTAATCAGGGAACGGGATACAGCTGGGAGCAATCAACAGGGAAGACAGATTCACAGGGGAAACTGGACTAACACAGAAAAACTACACAGAAAACACAGATCCTAACATTACAAAGTTTAGTCCAGCAGAAAAAAAAAGAAACTAAAGCTTATAAATGAAGGAAAGGTGGAAAAGAGGATTCAGTCATAGTTTCCAGTATCAGACACTCATGAGTGTCAGCAGAATTATTAAGGGAAATACTGCACTCTTTCGGACATTTCAATCTCACCCATGACCACAGGTGGAAAAAAAATAAAAATAAATCCAGCACCTCAGCAGATTGCTTCTACATACATTTATAAAAAATAACGGGTCAATCTTACGAGCTCCGTGAACCGCGATAAAATACCACCTGTGCAAAGCAGCCAGTTTTAAAGTCTTCTCTTACCATAACCATGCGGAAATTACAGGATCGAAGTGGAAGGCTATGCAAAACCACAGAGTGAGGTCAGTGGCTGCTCAAGCACTGAGTATGCAGAGGTCACCAACTCTATATAGAGTTGATAGTGACCTATCTCCAAACCTAATTGGAGTACAGTGTGTGGAGAGCTTCACAGGATGGGTTTACCATGATCAAACAGCTGCATCCACTCCTAAATCACCAGGTGTAAAGGGTTGATGCAGTGTTTAAATCAGATCTCCACCGGAACAATGAAGATGTGTCCTCTAGAGCGATGACTCATGCTTGGCTGAATGACAGTTCATAAATCAGATTGTGGGAGTTGCCAGCAGAATACTACACACTTGACAGGATTGTGTCTAGATTAAAGTTTAGCGCAGTGGGGATCATGTTATGAGGCTGTTTATCAGGAGTTAGTCTTGACCACTAAGTTCCTGTGAAAAGAACATCATCATTCCAAGACATTTTAGAAAATATCATGTTCATGTCTTTGTGGAAACAGTTTGGCGATGGCCGCATCCCGTTGCAACATTAACTGATCAAGGTTTATAAAACCATGGATGAGATAGTTTGCTCCTGACCTCAATCCAAGCCATCTTTTCGTGTCCAACATTAGTGTCTGACCCCACAAATGAGCTTGAGAACTTTCTCCTACACCTTGTGGAATGAATGTCCAGAAGACCTGAAGCTGTTACTCCTCTAAAGACTGCACAGACATCCTTATTAAAACCGTATTTGATCGGAAATAGTATATCACTCCAGTTCATATGTATGCAAAAGCAAACAAAATCAAAAGCTTTTTGAAAACAATGGGTCATGATTAGAGTTTAGGGGTCTGCAATAACATGCCTTCATTTTGAAAAACATACAATCGAGGTGTGATTTTTGATTTTTCTTTTCGACCTTACTGATTGATCACAGTCGCTCCTTCCTCTCCTGCTTCTAAGGTTGCCTTTAATGAAATTGTGATAGATGCACACATGGGACAGCTTATGTGGCAAATTGTGGAATATTTGTGGTCACCTTGCAACTTGAGAGTTTCCTTCCCCAACCTCCCCTCCTCTTTTTTTTTTCCTTTTTGTTGTACTGAGTTTACTTTCAAAGCACCTTTGGGTTTAAGCGCAAAGAAATCCGATTGGATCCAGAGCTGACAGAGAGCTGTGGGATATGACAGTGTTTATGACTGTCCCCTATGCTCCACACCTCCTACAGTCCAAAAATAAACCTGAGTTGTTCTGCTAGGTTAAGTTCAAGTGTTGATTACTTGCCTGAAAGGCAGTAAATATATTTATTTCAATCCTTTTCTTTGGTTTCATAAGACGCAAAAACATTTCTATAAAAGACACCCCCTCCCCACCCTATATGCAGTTGTAATGATCTGTTTCTTTTTCATGGCAGTCATTAAACAGTGTCAGAATCAATATTATCTTTCATCCTCCATGAGTAAATAAGAATGCATAAGCAAGAACACAGAGTTTGATAAACTACTTTTCCAGCTGAAATTGACTCCAAAATCAATATATGCTGACGGTGAAAAAAAAAAAAGAAGGCGGATATGCATGTGTTGCAATAAAAATAAGAGTAGAATCTAAAGTTTAATTAAAGGGTCATCACAAAAATCATTTTGCCTTTCACTCATTCTCATAAAAATCTATACTTAATTGTAGATATTTGAGCAGTTATCAAAAGTAGCAGAGTTTTTGTGTTTTAGGTTGATATAACAAAAAATTAAGTGAATAAATATACAACATAAATTATGCTTTTTGTTGTACAACAGATTTTGGTATGATACTTCTTCAGATGTTGGACTTGAGAGTTGAGCAGTATCGCTCATGTCTTTTGAAGAACTAAGATATCAGTTTGACTTCCTGGTCAGCAACACCTCACCAAAAGCGTGCATGTCGTCTTCTCTTGGTGGCGAGCTCAGAATTTCTCCACACCAAAGATTTTGTGGCAGACTCATTGCTTCGAAGGATGCTAGCGATTAGCCAACTAGTGCATCCAGCTGGATTCAGAGGTGTTGCCGAGCAGCTGGTCAAAAACAGAAACACAATGGTCTCCTACTTGCGGATATGCTTGCAGCTGTAAATAATCCACAGTATTACTCAGGAAGCAAACATTTGTAGAGAAACGCAGCTGTATTGCGGTTTTATTTGAGTCAGGTCTAAGTCATGCCCAGCAAATGGGCCTGTTGAGCCGCCTCCAGGCAACACCACATTCCACACAACCTCACTTAGTCAGCTGGCTGCCTCCTAAGCAATTTATTATGCTGCTTCTCTTCCACAACATG